GGAGGGTGAAAACAAGCGTTCATTTTTCATTTGTGCTTTACTGTGGATCGTCTTGTTTTGTCGCGGCAGAAAACGCTCCCTGTGTTCATATTCGCCCGGTTTACGACTGTTTCGCCCATTCGGCCTGTCTCTATTTGCCTTGTTGCTGACGCCTTGAGATCTTTATGACATACGGTAACTGCCATTTGTCCTTTTTACTTCAAACTCCCTGGAAATAACATGCGTTGCATTGTTTGCATTTCAGTCTTTCTTTGCACTGTATGATGTATTCATTTTGTACGTCATTTCCTTTTGTTATTTCAGTTTGCTTATCTTGCTTTAACCGTCCTTCTGGCCGGTGCATTTTATATGTCGATCCTTTGCAGATGATACAAGGTCGCTGCCTGTCTTGACGCAACTCTCCATTAAGCTCCTGTAGCTGTTTTGTATTTGTTGAGCTATCCTGGCTAAGCTGCGATTCCATTTAACCTTATTTTGAAATCACCCATTTCTCTGCCTCCATTATCAACGTCTGTAGAGGAAGGTAAACATCGGTATCAATTTGTGCATCTTTTGCAATCCCACTGACGAACACACAAAGGATGACCGGTGCCTCCCGACGACGGGGTTGTGTGAGTGTGACAGTACCTTCGAATTAGCACCCTTTCCAGTCTTGTGGCTCTGTCTTGGGGTCTGCGTGGCTGATCGATGGGCCTTCATCAGGTGGCCGCGCTGAGACGCCTATCCGGACGACCGGCGGCAAAATGGCAGTGGAAACGGGGGCGACACACCGGAGCATTACCACAATGGCGCCGAACATTATCTTACCAGTGTTCCCAGCTGGCAGCTGGTAGCATTCCGGCTTTCTGTTTTTAGAACCTTTGACGAGGATGCTGACCATGCTGATGCTCTGCCACGCAAGTTTGTTGTGGATGCCGCGTTGGTAACTTCCTTGTTGACTTCACCAATTGATCGCCTGTATTGCAATGGTGACATCGGCGTTTCTTCCTCCAGTTCAGTGTCTTTGCCACGGCGGTAAAGCCGCCGTTTCGCTCTCCGTTCATTGTCTGCGCGGCGCCAGTTACGCCGCCGTTTACCACCTCCATTCGGCGCTCGCTGGCGGCCCGTTCCAGCGCCGGTGCCGACTGACGGCGGCCTCCCGCCGCGCCGCCGCCGCCGCCGCGCCGCCTTTGACGACGCCCAGTATATCCTTATCAAACGGCCGGGTCGCGGCCGAGGCGGCCATAAAATTCACGAATGCCATTTATCTTTTCGTCCAATAAAGCGGGACAGCGGCACTTTGGTGTATATCATGGCGTCACTGAGCCCCGGGGGTCACTGGGAAATGGCCGCGCCTCCCGCCCGCCGCGGCCGGACGGACGGACGCCCGCATTCTCGGCAACTTGGACTGTGGGATTGTCGGTGTGTGAAAATTGCAGGAAGTGTACTGCGATAAAGATTTATATCGTTGTGACTTACAGTTGTGTCAGTACCCAGCAGAGTAAAAGTAATGTTTTCTGGGTTCTGGTGTCTGTGACAGTAGTGTCTGGGACAGCAGGTATTTCGAAACCGTCTAAGAATGATCTTCAATCACATTGCTGTTGATTATGAAAAATGCTATCGTTTTTTACCGTTTGATCTCGAAGCCTCATTGGACCATTCTCGTTTTCTATTTTTGTTTTATTTTCTAATCAATGCATCTCTCCACCCGGCAGTCTTATGGTCCGTTGATCCTTTGGATTCCGTCGGTCCTCTGGTCGCCGGCGCGCGCTGTCGGTATCGGCAGGGCGCTGTGTCCACCCGGGAGCGCTGTTTTCCCGCTGCCAGTGACCGCCGGCCGGCCGGACGGGTACGGGGCGGACGGCGCACTCAAGTGGGCCGTTCGGGCCGACCGGACACGACAGGGGCCGGCGGGAGAGCGTGCTCGGGTGGACGACACGGCCGAACGGTGCGCCGGAGCGGCGGGCCCACACCGGCCGCCGGCGCGCAGAAAGGAAGCCCAGATGGGCCGACTGTGAGCGGCCAGAAATTAGAACGTCTGACGAGTGAGCCGGCCAACCGGCTTTCAGCTCGAAGCCGCAAAATGAGAATCCTTTCAAATACACGCTCCAATATAATGCGATATTGCCAGCTGGGAAATTGGCCGCCAGAACGATATTTGATGTCGATATCCCGTTGAAAAGGTTGATTTTATCAAGTCAATTTCCCGGATGTCGTCGGTCAGACGGGGACACGCAAATCAGACGGCTCGCCGCCCGGGCCATATTACCGCTCTGGCGGCGGCATTATGCCAGCGCCGGGCACTGCGAGCGTGCAGTTCCCGCTACCGGGGCAGACTTTTGGCATATTACCGCGCCATTGATCACGGTTCGGGGCTGCGCCGGCTCTGCTCGGCGCCCCCGCGCGTGGGACGCGGCCGGCCGAGGGCCGTGGGAGCGCCGCCAGGTGCCTGTTGCAGGGATTACTCGATTGTCGGCCGCCGAGCCGCCGACCGGACCATACGACGCGGCGGTGTCCGCTGGGCAATGGATCTTCGCCGGCCGATATAGCGGTGACAGCGATGGGTCGGGCCGGCGACACGTGCCGGGACGGCGACGGCCAAATACCGAGGGTATCGAGAGCCGTGTAGTTACTGCTGTATCACAGCTTGATTCTTTGCTTGAATGCGAATGTGGTTGTTTCAAGGCTGCTCCACTCTAATAGTTTCTAATTAGAATGGGTCTTCTTGTCCTTCGGATTTTTTCATTTTAGTCAGGCGTCATCATCAGTTCTCAGTTCTGAGCTTAAAGAGCTATCCCATGACAAAGACTTTCGAGAATGCTTGCCTTGCTCACACTCAAATTTTGACAGACTTTCATCATTTTTTCTACTAGCCCCCAACTCATAAAGAGTCGCAATGCTATGACGACCTGCATTAATAGCCACAACAAAACAGGACAGTCTACGTGCCATTCAATCTCCTACGCCGGCCGCTGTAGTTTGGACAGACTTTGATCTCCATTGACCTTTGCCCATCCTCTGACGCTCAGCGCCATGGTTTCCGGTCATCCTACCGGCCCCGTACCGGTGAGGGGGCGGTGCCACGCTGCACGCGTTGCGTCAGGTCGGGACGGCGGTCCAGGGGCGCCAGTAACCCACCAGGGGGTGATACCGGCGGATTGGGACGCCTTCGGTGGCTCAAAGATCAACAGTCGATGTCTGACCTTTTCCAATTGATAAGTGAATGATGCTCCGGGAAGATGTGCTCGTTCAAATTGCATGAAAGCCACCGGGAACGATGCACTTCTGTGAACTTTTCCACGGCAAATGTTGTACAGCTAAGTCTTATGAAAGAACGACATACTGAGTTGTCAGTGGACTGGATGGGTGAACTCTGAAGTAAAGCAGCACTTTTGATGGGACGTAAAACAAACTTCTTTGGAGCGTACGTGCTTTAATTTAATTTGGCGGCTTAAATGAACTGCAAGCGTGATCTACTCCCGTCTATTGTAACTAATCACAACGATTATTAAAAAACCGTGCTGATAACATAACTTAACCCGCGCACCGACGGGGGTCTGCGCCAACTTAGTACCGACGGGGGGGGGGGGGGCGGATGACCGCCCCCCCTGAGATCTCGAGAACGAAGCAAGATAGCGACAAGCAGTAAACGGCATCGGATACGCACGGTCAAGATCTACAATTTTTACAAAGGTCATTTTCAGGTCAGGTCAAAGATGACGTCACAGGGGTCGAAAAAGTCAAAATGGCGGCGCTAAATATGGAGAGAGTTTTTCTCGAATAACTTTCGAATTAGTCAAGATAGGAACAAACTAAGGGCATCATCGTGATCCTCTCGTCAATCCGCATCGAATGATATATAAGTTGACCTCGAAAGGTCAATGTCAAAGGTTGACCTCAGGTCACGTAACCTCGAGGTCATCATGTATATCATTCGATGCGTCTTGACGAGCTGAACACAATGAGACCATCCACGCGTCTGTATCTTGTTCCTGTACGGAGTTATTGGCCAAAAACCTTTGGTGACCTTTGATGACGTCACATGACCTCACAGCTGCCCAACAGCAAAACAGACCTCAAGGTAGTGAAGGTTGATCGTATATGAAGTCATGTATGGTATATGGGGCCATTCCGACCCGTTTTAGTGGTAAAAACAGGGAGTTGATTTTTCCCCCATTGACTTATAATGGGGAGGTCGCGAAATTGACCTGACCTTAGGTCACCGATATCAAAATTCCGAGATATACAAATTGTAGCTACTAATGACCTAATAACATCCTGCGACTTTCAAAGGCCTCCGACATCTACTGTAGCTCTGGCACGGTGACAAAGTTGCAAAAAAGTGACTTGAGGTTGGGTCATTCAAAGTGACCTGGTGACCTGACCTTGAAAGGTAGGAGGTTCAAACTTGCACACCATGTGTAAAATTGATAAGGGAATAGTCATACCAAATTTCGCGGCGCTACGCGCCGCGGTTTTCCCGCTATTCGCGAAAAATCTCAGGGGGGGCGGATATCCGCCCCCCCCGTCGGTGCGCGGGTTAATTAACTGGACTGTTTTCCTTCTTGGCGCTGTTGGCAAAGACCCTGTTTTCCTACGATAAGGCAGTTAACCATTGAGTGGCAGATTAGCTGGCCTCCCAGTATTATTCTGCTGTCGAGGATTGCTGAACGATGCCCTTCAGAAGGCCAAACAGTGCTTTATGCAGATTGAACTTCACACGACGATGTGACTGACCTATGACCACTTCACAATAACAGTTGAAATAGTGAATACAATACTGTTAGTTGATGCCTGACCTTGATCTCTTCTCGACTTTTCGTATGTCGACAAAGAACATGATTAGATTTAATGATGGGAAAGCTGTTCGAGATAAACTATTCGGTCTGGAGGTGATCCTCGCCGATTCTGATTGATAGTTTTCGTTTTCAGCCGCCGTTATCTGTCTAAGATCAGCCTGATCTCTCTCCGACTGTGCCCCGTGTCACTGTTCTGACCAGCCGTGTCCGTCTGTTCCTCAGGTGATCTGCGCATTGCTGACTCGGTGGTGAGCGACCAGGGCAAGTATCGGTGTGCCGCCGAGAACAGCGAGGGCACCGTCTACTCCAAGGACTCGACCGTCTACATACGAGGTGAGCTGGGGATCCCTCAGTGGCTAGTCAGACTCAGGACACTGCCTACTCCAAGGACTCGACCGTCTACATACGAGGTAAGCTGGGGATACCTTAGTGATTAGTCAGGGCACCGTCTACTCCAAAGGACTCGACCGTCTACATACGAGGTGAGCTAGGGATACCTCAGTGATTAGTCAGGAAACTGCCTATTCCAAAGGCTCGACCACCTACATTCGTAGTGAGTTGGAGTCGGAGATCCCTAATCTCAGGGAACAGCGAGTGTTCTCCAAGGACTCAACTGTCTACATACCAGGTGAGCTGTTGATCTGAGGTGAGATAACCTATTGGGGTTTACTGTCAAGGTGAGCGAGTGGACTGAATAGAGCTAAGCTGTCGAGGCAGGTGATACTTCTATGTAAGTAGGGTTTAGGTGAGCTTGTGATTCGAGGTAAGAAGAGTCCTCGCTTCTCCGTCGATGTGGTAGAGAACAGCATTTAAGTTGGGCCGAAGTGGAGCAGCGGTCTCCTAGACCGGCTTTGTTCGCGTCTCGAGGAGGATTTCATTGGCTCAGCCAACAGCAACGCGGGGTCTTATCATGAGTAGCTCGTTTACTATGGACGTCAAACCCCTTGAGACCCCACTTTTTTGCGATAATTTTTAAATGCGTCAACTCTCGTTGACAATATTCTGGCAATGTGTGTTTCAGAACCTGCCGAAACTTTTATTACTAAGGTATTTTGACGCCAAACGATTATGAAAGGTACTTCTCATTCACTCGTAATGTTAAATTTCACGGAACGAATCTGCTGTTTGGGTAGAGGCTACGCGCTCATGGGGCGGAGCCACGTAATGACGTCAGCGCTAAGCTCCGCCCTAGCCCTCCGGCGCTCCTTGCAGCCCGGCGACCGGTCACTCGCGTCTCTCGCTCCATTCAGGCTTGATGGTGGGCGGTAGCTGGTAGCGGTAGCGGGCGCTGGTAGATGGCATTTAGAGCAGATGGCGCTGGTGGCGGGGCTCGAGTGTGGCCGAGCGCAAGCCTCTGCCCGGGCCTGAATTGACCTTAACATTACGAGTGAATGAGAAGTACCTTCCATAATCGTTTGGCGTCAAAATACCTTAGTAATAAAAGTTTCGGCAGGTTCTGAAACATGCATTGCCAGAATATTGTCAACGAAAGTTGACGCATTTAAAAATTATCGCAAAAAAGTGGGGTCTCAAGGGGTTTGACGTTCATAGTAGGTATTGGGTAATGGGTATGCCCAGGCATAGGTGATCCGCTATTGGGGAAAGATTTACTGCGTGGTAGCTACTGAAGTGTGCGGCCATCGCACCTGATATTCCTCCTCAATGCCGCTTACCGCACTGACAAGTGACTCTTATCCGTTGCAGCCTCCCAGCCTTCGCCCTCAAACACACCTTACACCAGCCGACACGCTGACACACTGTGTATGACACTCGACACTATCCCCGACCTATGCTCGCCATGTCAATGCTGCGCCCCACTCCTAGATCAAACGCTCTCCGTCGCCAGCTCCTTAGTTCCTGCCTCTCACGTCAATACTAATGTGCCACCGGATGCCGCGCCGACATCAGAGCTCTCCGCCCTGTCTTCTCGGAGCGAGACGTGACCGCAAGTTTAGCCCTGTGATGGACACCCGCTGACAGACTGGAGGCCAGTCCTTTGGTGGTGGGAGATCTTGTAATGGCTGTGGGTCGGGTAGGTCGTGTAACGGATACATTGTACTGAATGCTGGTCAAGGCGAATGAATGGAACGCGTTTTACAACGATTCTAGATTAGACCATACTGGCTCCCAATAGGGGGAAGAAGGTCGGGTCAGTGGGGAGGGGGTATTTGAGCGATGTTTCCGGCCCGACGCTCGGCGTTCAATTAGATCGGCGCGCGGCACGGGCCCGTTCTCATATACAGGCCGCCGGAGATATATTCGGAGCGCGATATGGCTGACCGGCATTACGGCACGTGCCCACGGGCGACGGACGGCGGACGGTATGGGCCGCCTCTGCGACCACCGACATCGGGCCCTGACACTGGCCTCTGAGCTCTGCAACACCGGGCCCTGACATCGGGCCCCGGTATCGACTGCTAAGACTGCAGCATCATAGTGCAGTTTGGACTTCGGACATGCATGCTGAAGGACTTTACCAGATGTGTTTTCCGCCTTGGTAGCTGCGACGGATTTAACGTGTTTTTGGCGCTCTGCACAGTGGTTTGCTGTGGAGAGACGGCTTAGAAGCGACCAGAATGTTTTGTTTGTCTCCGACATGTCACTCATTGTTAGGCTCCTCCGAGTGCGTCCCCGCTACTGCTGGCACACCGCAGGCGGTCTGTTTCGGCACCTCCAGACATCTCCCTCCAGAGAGGAAGAGGGAAGATTCTGTCCTTTCCTCTCTTTTCATCTCCGCGCCAACCCCACCTCTCTCTTCTCTCTCAGCCATCTTTTCTCGCGGCCGCCGCTCAATTTCCTTCGCCGCCCACCGGCCGCGTTCCACAGTCGTCCTATCACATTTCATGACGACTTGTCTCGTTCATCTGCTGGCGCCGCCGTCGGTGGGGCCGGTCCCGTCCCGTCTCGCCCCGGCCAGCGTTCGAAGGGTCAGGTCACAGCTGGTTCAGTTGGGATGGAGGAGTTGCCGGTGTCGTAATGCGGAGCAGGTGCGGCGGGGTGGCGAGCGTGGGGGCGGCTCAGGACGGACAGAAAGTTGCGGCGGCGCCCAGGTCTCGACTCTAGGGACTCAAGTTCATCCGACCGTTGACCGTCTTCAGTCTTCTCCGCCGCCGCCCACCACCCACCGCTTACCGCCCACCATTGCTGCCCACCGCCCTTCCAACCCACACCGCCGCCGCCGTTTCCGCCGGCCTCTCCGCTCGTACACGCTCGCCTCCTCCGCCCACCACCTCTCCCGTCACTTCAGCCACCAGCGGCCGTTACAACTTCTCTCGGCCGACCTCCTCATGACCCGTCCCAGGGGCGTCGGCCACTCACGTATGAATGGCGTCAGGTGGCGGCGGTGATGGTGACGGTTTGTACAGACGCCGGTCGCCGCCCGCGCCGACGGTCCGATGGGGCGGAGGGCGCAGTGGTGGGAGTGTAGGCCGAATGTCAGGTGTGACGGGCTTGTCTTGTCGTCTTCCTATAGGCTGTCGATCTGACCTTTTCCGGGCGTGGGAAGGGAGTCGTATTGGCGGCTGAGCACGTTCGACAGCAATGGTGAGATTTCGAAACGACAGCAATAAGTCAGTGATTTGAGTGATGTCATTTTGGTTGAAGTTACTCTTCCTGTAAACCTTTTGGTATACGCTGCAGTTGATTTGATGTTACTCTTACCTTTATCTGATCGTTGACATTCAGGTACCGGGGAACAACTCTGAACTACCCATCTCGCCATCTAACCGACCTCCGCCTGCTGTCACCTGCCTCCCCCTGACCTCTCCCCCCGACAGTTCGTGGGCTAAGTCGTCCTTCACCATTCCGCCTGGCTGTGTGACCCGACTCCATCCCCGTCTGACTGTCTGTCTGACCTGACCTGAACCAACCCCTCTCTTTGGCAGTTCGCCGGGTGAAGCCGTCGTTCACCATCCCGCCGGAGCCGATGTACGAGGTCCTGCCCGGCGAGAGCCTCAACCTGACGTGTGTCGCCGTGGGGTCGCCAATGCCGCACATCCGCTGGAGGAAGGTGAGATCGCCGCACGCAGAGAGGGGAAGAATGGGAGGCTGATTTACGCCTGATAAAACTCTTTGTATCGTACTTCGTAGACAGTATTCGCTATCAGTGCTGTGACCTAGCAGCCGATGCTGATGCTTACTTTTTATCTGACCCTAATTTCTGAGATTTGCGCACAGCTTGCTGATCGATAGCTCTAGATTACCCCCCGGTGACTTGACATCTGATCTACTGTGTGATCTTAGGCCAGGACCGAACTTGACTGCCTTTTACCTAACCCATTTTAGCCGACCCCGCGACCCTCGACCCTCTGACCGTCGTTCCGTGCCGCAGGAGCCGGGCAGCGAGCCGTCACCCAAGGAGAACGCGCCCATCGGCCGGGCCTTCCTGGTGCTCAACAACATCAGGGAGTCTATGAACTACACGTGTCTGGCGACCAGCGAACTGGGCACCGTCACCTCCCACACCCAGGTCAAGGTGCAAGGTCAGTACCCGTGCTGGGCGAGAGGTTACCCAGGCTGAGGTCAGAGGTCAAGTCAGACCGATGTACGAGGCTACTCCAGAGTCAAGCGCGGGAGGCTATCCCTGGCAACGATCATAGGTCAAACCAGGTAGAGGTCAGTTGGCTGTGCTGCTGACTGACTGGTCTGTTAACCCGCGCGGGGCTGGGGTCTCCAGCCGAACGCGCGGGGCTGGGGGGGGGGGGGGTAAATTTTACCCCCCTGTTATCTCCCGAACTAATGGTCCGATTTGGAAAATTCAAACGCCAATCGAAAGCTCTCGTCACGAACTACTAAAAACATGTACTTAATTTAAAGTTTGAGGTCAAGGTCAAGGTCAGGTCAAGGGTACAATTTGCAAGTTTCTACAGTATCGGCCTTGCACCGTAGTTGCCGAAGAATGGAGTCATGGACTGAGACTGATCGCCCAAAACGTGTTCTTAGGCTACCAAGACAATATTCGTTGCATACAATATCATTCAGAGGTCAAGGTCAAGGTCAGGTCAGGTCAGGTCACCAAAAAACAAAATATAGAAAAGGGCATGTGCGACACATGTTTTATGGGTCATTTTACTCATAGAATTCAATAGGCACACTGAATAAGTGATATGGACCACCTCTGGATGAATTTCAGGTCGAGGTCAGGTCAAGGTCAGGTCAAGTGAGGTCAAATTTTGAAGTTGGTTGTTAAGGCCTAAAAAGGTGTCTATCTGATGCAGTTTTTCACGGCGAATCGAATGGTGCTATTTTTGTTTCCGTACGAGGTCTAGAACTTCCAAAAAAGTCATTTTTCAAAAATTTTGTGTGTCGTGACGTCATAAAATTTTGAATAACTCCCACATTTTTGAACCGATTCTTCTAAAATTTGGTATGTAGGTGCACATAGACCACTTCTCTGACATATATTCCGGTTTTTTCGATAGACTCAAAATTTTGGATTTCATAATGATTTTCCCAAAAAAGTCAGTTTTTTGAAAAATTTAGGCCAAAATCCAAAATTTAAAAAAAACCGAGATAGCCATTTGATAGACAAAGTAAAATTACGTATAACCTTTTTTGTTACGTCTTGATTCCTTTAAAAATGAAGATGTTAGCGGCGTTTGAACTTTTGCCGTTTTTGAGGCGAAAATGGCGAACATGACGTCACTAAAACGTCAATTTCTCAAAAATTTTCCGACGGATTTCGCTCAAATTTTCAGGAAACGTGTCAAATTGATGTCAGAAAAGGTACTGAATGTTTGGCGGCGCTGCGCGCCGCCGTTTTTGAGATATCGCAAAAATTCGCGAGGGGGGGTAAAATTTACCCCCCCCAGCCCCGCGCGGGTTAAAATACACGTGGGTTCGAGTTTATCTGTCGGAGACAAGGATAGCTCAGTACTTGTTTCTTGGTCATGTCCCGAGACATAAAAGACATAAGGTCACGGCTTTGGCAAAACTAGCTCGGAATAAGCCGTACGCTACCTGTGGCGCTTAAGTAGCGAACAGTCTGTCTCTGTGTGTATTTGGGGAAGACGCTTTTGCAACACGTGGCTGTGGCTTCAGTGCCGTTGTCTCATTGATGTTATCTCCACAGAAGCAGCCGTAAGCTAAAACGAGCGTCAGCAGTCACCTATCCTGCGTTGACTGCCTAGGCGCCCCAATCACTTACGTGTTGTATTCTTCTCCGCGTCTCTCGTGCCTTCAGTTCTCTCGTATGCTGTTTGTCCGACAAGCTGTCAGCATCCTGGGCAGCCTCGCTGAGCCGCCGGCCGAACTGCTAGCTAATTATAAATCCAGCTCGGCGGCACCAGGCGCGTGTAAAAAGCTGCCCGGTCGGCACGACACGCGTATCGATTGGTCCCTGGCACGCAACTGTGACTGTCCAGCGCCGCCGGTCGGTCAGCCGGACGGCCGAGTCCGCGACGCTCAGAAATTACCTCCGGGAGGCCTTACGTGCGGCGCAAGTTTGGATAGGTTTCGCAGGTAATTTAGCATGGAAGGTTGGATTAATTAGGTGATTGGTTTGCGGTATGCTGATTCAAAGGGTTCCGCGAAGATAGCCTACAAATGCGGAGGTTGATGAATCAAAGCCGGCGGACGGAAAACAAATTACGATAACGAAGTTTTCCTTTGGCTGGAGGAGCGTCCATCTTGGGGGACCGGACGCGCGGAGTTGTTTTGATATCGTAAAGTCTGATAGTCGGCCGGCGTCCCGACGGAGGTGACGGCCGGCCGACCGGACGACTCCGACCTACACGGCGCGGCGGGTCACGCGACCGTGTCGGCACGACTCCGACCTGTCGTATCGGGCCGGGGCCGGCCGGACAGACGGCGGCGCCGAACGGAACGGAGCCTCCTCTGCGGGTGGAACACCGGCGCGGATTTATACAGAGGGATACCGTCACAGCCTCTGTACTACTCGACACAGCGACTGTGTGTTTTCTCTCAAAGTGTCGGGTCGATGTCGGAGCACGACGGCCGTCTATCCATTTCATCTCCCGATGGACCTGCTCGCGTGAGAGGGAGCCAGCAGGGAGGGCTACGAGCCGGCACGGACGGCTTTTTTCAGCGGCCCGATGGGGCCGGGCCTATCGCGCCTAATGATCGAGGCGCGGCGGTACTGATGCTGCTGATGGTGAATGATGATAATAATGACGGTAACGGTGTTGATGAGATTGATGTTGCAGTTTGACCGAGTTTGTTTCCACTGACGATGTTTTGGCATCCGCAAATGCACAACAATTCGCTGATGTATCGCGTAAAGCAGCGCATGCTATGCCTGGAACCGTCGCGGTCTTACTAGACACATACCAACACGTTGGAAACTACCGTTCGCCCGCCCGTGGAGCTGCCATCCGTCCGTCCATCCGCCCATCAAGCTGGCGTCTCACCGACTGGAGACAAGTGTCGTCTGCCGCCGAGCTCCAGTGTGTTATCCCGCTCCAGTGACGCATTTCCGACTAATCACATGCCACATTTCACAGCCATTCCGCTTACGCGGCTTATGGCGAATACATTTCACAGTCATTCCGCTTAGGGAGATCACAGTGAGGTCGTGTAATTCTCGCGGTGTGCGGCATTGAAGCAATTCGCTCGATGGGTAACATTACATAGCAGGATACAGGTGATGAGAGGCATTTAGGAAGAAAGTGGTACTGCTGAAGATTGTTTCAGGTATGAAAGGGCCGGCGATGGGATTCCTGCTATTTTAATTGTTCATATAATCGACGTTTTCACCGTCACCGCAACCGCAACCGCAACCGTCACCGCCATCGTCGCGCCAGTCGTTTCGGTGCCGGTTCTTTGCTGACTTTGTCACGGCCTGGCGCCGTCGCCGCTGTAAGACGTCGCTCCGCCATTTCTCAGCGGGCAAAAATGGTGCCGCGGCCGCCGAGTTCCAGCTCTGTTGACAGCCGCACCGCGGGAGGCCGGTACGGCAACGGTGGCGGCGGCGGGCTGTGGTGTTGGCGTTGATAGCGGTAATGGCGATGGAAGGTAGTGCCTGGTGGTGGTAGGGAGGTAGAACAAGCAGTCTTGGATGCAGAACGACTCTTCCTCAGCCTTTCCAATCCGCCTACCTTGCATGTTGCGTGGGATCCCTTCGGCAAAGTTGAGATGATGTTTCAAAGGGTAAACGAGTTGCAAGATTTTCCTGGTTGTTGTGGCCTAGTGGGACGCTTTGGTGGTGAGCGTGAGTCTGTGATGTTTCCGTGACTAGAGTAAGATGCTTTGCTCCCGGGTAAACATCCGACTTTGGTGAGTGTCCCTTGAAGCCCCCGTGGTCGGTGGGAGGTGGTAGAGTCAGTGATGCCGTGTAGCGAACTTTCTGGTACGGGACCGGAAATACGCCTTACGTTCCCCGGCCGGTGGCTGTGACGGGGACAGGCGGGTGGCGGACGGCAGGTCCCCACTGCCCGTCCGACGGGCGACGGCTCGCAGCGCTCGGCTGTCACGGACACTCGCTCAGGCTCAGCCTCTGCGCCGCCACGGGCCCGGCGCATTGCATATGCAGAGCCATTCACAGAATCAGCCGCCGCCATGAGTCATTCTTTGGCGACGGCTCAGCCGAGTTGATGCTCGGTGCGGCGCGGCTGTGTGTGGTTAATGCAGGAAGTTTGGTGCGGCGTGTGCCGCTGGGAGGGCGCTGTCTGCCGCCGGGGGGTCCCCGCTCAGTCAGTTCAGACGGGACCGGCGCGCTTTGAGACGCCTCCCGGTGAGAGGCCGAGCTTGGAGAACCTATCGACCGAACGCGACAAGGAGCCGCCGGCAAATGTAACCAGCCGACCGACCGCCTCTCTCGCCGGCTCCGGTTCCAAGGCTAATTAACAGTTTGGCTGTATTTTGGGCCGCCGACTCGGCCTGGCGTGCCCGGTTGTCATAGAAACCGAACGGCACAGAAGGGCACTCCGGTGTCCTGTGCGCCGGAGACGGGTTGAGTCGGCGTCTTGTCAAATGTCCGCACTTAATTTTTTTCATTAGTAATAATTAGGTTCGTTTGCGGGGGACTGGCGAAAATTGACGTAGGCGTCTGCTCTTAGACGGGCTCTAAGTGATTTCAATGTGTACTACCTGTTTTCATCCACGCAAATAAGCCATTTGTCCTGTCACCTTTGAGCTGCTCTCTGACATTTCGAAGCAGGAACGTGCTCCGGATCTTGTGTGATTCCGCTATTGCAAGGTTTCTGATTGTCTCCGTCGCCGATTCTTGAACGGAGTGGCGTCTTTATGGCGTTGTTACTTATTTCGCTGGTCTGATGCAATACCCGCCCCATCTCTCAGATCGGTCAATCGGCCAAGGGATGACGTCCGCTCCGTCTCCTTTCGATGTTTGCTCATCGACGGGGAGGGGGAGGTCGCTTTTGTTCATCGTGCTTATCGAGACGAGAAACGTGAGGATATCCTTGTTTGACTCTCACTTTTTTGGCTGTCTGCTAGTTGACCCTTTCATTCAGTTGTTATCGTTGTTCGTCTCCTGAAATCTTGTTTTGCAGTTATCCGCGACTTTCCCTTTCTGCTGTTCATCAACTTCTCTGCTAATCTCTCCCGGATCTACGCGTTGCCACTGCCGACTTAATATAGCCTCCGTCATCTCGACCTGACCTGTCGGCCCCGCGAGCCCCGGCGCTCTCCGCTAACTCAGCTAACTGTTCGCTGCCTGTCGTCCAACCGTCGGGGAACGCCTAACGATAACCAAGTAGCTGACTAATCAGTTTAGATAGTCACCATGATTAATACAAATGTCTGGGGCGGCTAACGCGATTCTCCCAGCGCTAATGCGGTATTAATGATGTCGGCCCGCCCCCGGAGGCGGCGCGGCGGGTGAGGACGTTCCTCCCACGTCCTCAGGGAGGGGAGGACAGGTGTGCGCGGGGACCGGCCCGCGACGATCGTTTGATCTGGCTCGGATGGTAATTGCGCCGCTGCTCGCTCGGTAGATCGCGTAGTATGGCGTGGGAGTGGTGTGTAAAGAGACGTCCATGCTTCACGGCGAAACGTACAGTGGGTCTTTCGGAGCGTTTGGTATTCTAGAAGCGGTCTTTGGGTGTCATTGCGGGGGCGAGGCTGGACGCTGGACGGTGTTTGCCGGAGGGGAGGGCTGGCTGTTCTGAAGGTCACCCACGTCGGCACCGTATGATCGTTCAGCGGGGGCGGCGACGCGGCGGCGTGGGTGGTGTGTACGTCGCGCGGCTCGTCCGGTGGCCGTCACCATTGATCTACCAATGGTGACGGTGACGGTGACTGGTCACGCACTGACCGCTTGGCCCCCTCCCCTCCCTTCCTCGGTCCTTCCTGACTCCTTCACCCTGGGCTGGAGGACAGTTCCATCCATATGTGTCAGTTGTTGGGGCCGCCCGCGACTGCTTTCCTCAGAGTAGTCTGGCTGGTTGCATCAGGAGTTGCATCATGCCATCGCATCAGCCAGACATCAGCGATTATAGTTTATTGGATTTCGTTGTAGGTCGTGACAATCGCATGTCGCCATTCAATGTTGAGTTTGATTTCCAGAGCGTACTTGTTGCATCACAACAGTTTTTTTTGTCACCTTGCTGCTGCTGCGCTGTGAAACTACGTGTCTCATTAACCGGGTCCCTGTTTCCGCCATCAACACTGGCGGAGCTCCGCGTGCTACCTGACCCAGGAATGACGCCGTCAGGTCACGCTGTCGCGCGCAGGCTCATATGCACAGCGGTCTACTTGTGACGGATTAACCGCCGTCACGCGATCAAGAGCGGTCACGGTGACGGCGCAGACACGTGAGAGACCGGCGCGGAGTATTTCGGGCGTCCATGAGCGCGCCTTGTTAGACGGCTCCCACGACTCCTGGTACGCACCTGGGCAGGTGAATGAGGAGGATAAATTGGGCCCGGGCCGAAGGTTGGGTGGAGTAGGTATTGATGGTTGGGCGGTGGGCAGGGCTGCCGAGTCAACAAGTGAAGGTCAGATGGAGGGAGGAGGAACGGAACACCGGTGAATGACCGTGAGGCGCTGTTGTGGACGGCCAGGACTGTGTGGGGCTATATTTACCTGCCTGTGGTGTGCTTGGCAACAATAGCGGTGCTTGTAAAGGAGGGACGTGTCGTCACATCCGGCTGTTGTGGTCGGCAGACGACAGTTCGATATGCGGGGACTGCCGCCTTCTTTCATTGGTTATGCATGGGGGTTCGCCCACAAGTGACGGCACACAAGCACAAGTAAACGATACAATGAGGTTACGAAGACATTTGACCTCATAGGTTCTTTCCAGCCTCCATCGCCGCTACCTGTTCCGCTTTGTGCCCCTGTCGGAGACAGCGAGCGGGGTCGATAGGGCCCGTCTGACGAGCCGCGCGGCCCGTCCGCAGTCCGACGGTCGGTCCCGGTTTATCCTGTCACGTGCCGCCGTGAGCCGCGATGGACTCAGCCGAGGGCCGCCACAGGGCTATCCCAGAGCCGCCACAGAGCCAGCTGTGAGCTGTGGTAGAGCCAGTCGTGAGCTGTGACAAAGACAGTGGTGAGCCACTACAGAGCCAGCCGGGAGCAGCGGCAGAGCCACTCGTGAGTTACGGCAGATAGCCGTGAGCTGTGGCGAAACAGAGCCAACCGAAAGCCGACACAGACCTAGCCGTGAGCCGGAGGCCCGGAACCGTCTCTGAAGGCCCGGAACCGTCTCCGTAGACCGGGAACTGACGGCCGCAGGGTCCGGCCGGCGCTCTCCCTGACACCGGGCGTCCAGCGGCGGCCGGCGGCCCGAGTCGTTTATCCCGGCCGGCTGACTGTCCCCGGACGACCGGCGCGTGACCGGCGTACAGTCACAGGTCACGTGACAGGGGTACGGCCGAGAGGTCACCAGGGACGGAGGGCCGCTGGGCCCCGCGGCGGGGACTGTTGCGCCGCAGTCGGCTGGTGCGTGAGGATTGATTGTTGATGATTGATTTGATGGGGATGGGTATTGACGAACGAGTGATCCAATCGGGGAGGAGTTCTTAGATTGTTGACGTTGATGGTTACAAGGCGGCCATGTTGACCAGAAATGGATTTGAAGAAGAATTCCCGTTCTTTCGGCCTCGTTGAATATTCATGGCGGTATGTTGTCGAACCATAGTAAAGTTGCACAGAATCAGAAAGTGATAGTCGGTACAAATTCCTATCCGTGGTGCTCGAAAGTCGATACTATCCCGATTGGTTATAAGTGTGGTTGGATTACCAACAGTGACGTAACGATCCATGACTTTTCCATCTAAACTAGGAATAGGAACGCAATCGCGTGAGTTCTGCCTGTTGCTGTAAGCCGGTATTTGTGAGCCAAAGATACACTTGTCTGATGTTGCAGTTGACTCGGTTGGCATGCCTACCACCTATACAAAACATTATTTCACGTCATCGCCACTTAACAAACTAATTGATCGCTTCCTACGGCGCACATTGCACTTTCATGTCTGTTTGGTATTTGAGCCGGGCGGGAGCGGTACCTGCCCCGTGATTATTGGGCCGTCGGTTCTATTTGGCGCCGCGCCGAGAGCTATTCTGGTCCGCCGGCCATCGATGGCTCTGTGGCGTGGACACCAAACATAGTGTCGCGCTCGACACGTACTGCGCAGGACGGACGGTCAGGTGCCGCGAGCGGGGGTGGCCGTGACGTCACCAGGGATGCGGAGCCGTGGAAATTTCAGACGGCTCCGGCTCCGGCTCCGGCTCCGGAGAAAAAAATCGGCTCCGGCTCCGGCTCCGGCTCCGGGTGAAATGTTGTGGCGGCTCCGGCTCCGGCTCCGGCTCCGAGTAAAATGGTCCGGCTCCGGCGGCTCCGGCTCCGACTCAGTACATCCTCTATGCAATCAATTAAATACGGGTGGAAGAAAAATTGGATTGGTTATACGCGTTACTCTTTGCCATGACCGGCTCACCGCGTCCTCGCGCAAACGCACCTCGGAGAGAACTGGCAGAACAAAGGACTAGGAAGCGATGGCATTAGAAACGCAGTCGCCGCGAATTGGAGTTCACTGAGCCATCGTAAGCTGACACCAGTCTCGGCTGCATTGGGGGGTGGGAGTGGGGGGGTTGGGGGTTGGGGGTTGGGGGTGGGGGGAGGGGAAGAGACGGTGCTGGGAGTCGCAGTCCACTGCACTGGCTTGAAAACAATGGCCGTCACTTGATGACCGGTCCTCATGTTCTGGGGATGCAGTAGACGTGGGGGGGGGGGGGGAGGAGCAGACAAGAAGTTGATTGCGTACAGTGGGATACTGGGGATATTCGGCTTTTTTCATTCAGTTGATGGCCCATGACGTAAGTAAAGTACCATATGTTTTACTGCCTTGTACTGTCAAACCGAGCTAGGTCAATTATTTTTTTTTCCTCTTCAAAAAATAAAAAGGAGCCGGAGTCGCCCCCTTTTTTGGCGGCTCCGGCTCCGGCTCCGGCTCCGGGCTATATTGTTTCACGGCTCCGGCTCCGGCTCCGGCTCCGGGCAAAATATGCCGGCTCCGGCGGCTCCGGCTCCGACTCCGGCTCCGGCTCCGCATCCCTGGACGTCACACCAGAAACACACCCCCGCAAACCGGCCGGGGTCACGCGACAGGCGGCGCTGAATGGGAGTGGAGGGGGGGGGGGCGGTACCGGCCGGCGCCGGCGGCTGTGACGCCGTGACATGAACGACGGCGACGACTCCGCGCTGGGTCGAACGAGGTTCATGGGAGGGATAGTCGAGGAATTGAAAGGGTGTAGGAATGCCGATCCTTGGAGTGGCAATAATATCAACAATGAAGTGTCATATTTAGACGAATTTTGGACGGATTCAAAACACTACATAGTGCATCATACAATAAAACTGCTATACAGGTCTGCTCTGATCGGGATACATTTATCGCTGTTTGGTTGAGAATCAGATGATATCGCTGATGAGGCTAAACCCGGTCTTATTTGGATCTCTCACACACATTTTTTTGTCATGTTATGCCACTCTGCATTCTAGACGTTTGCCCGCCTGGGGCCCCATGGTCGTTTACTCTTCTGGCCGTCTACCCGTGGATCGCCATTACAAGCGTGACATCTCCGTGTGTCATCACATCACCACCTAACTCTGTGTCGTCGTTGTTTCGGCAGCGATGCCGCGTCCGCCGACCAACCTGCGGGTGTCGGACGTCACCTCCGAGTCTGTTCGTCTGACGTGGTCCTACGACCTGGACCAGGAGACCATCCAGTACTACGTGATCCAGTACAACCAGAAACACGGCATCCAACAGGTAAGTGCGTCGTACGACCTGGACCAGGAGACCATCCAGTACTACGTGATCCAGTACAACCAGAAGCACGGCATCCAACAGGTACCCAGCGCGGCGCGGCGGGGCACGAGCGTGTCATTGTGGAAGGGATCAGGATAGGCCGTGACCAGAGGGACATTGGTGATGGAGTTGTGTGGTTGTGATACAGAATACAGCATTGCGGGGTTTGAGCTAGCTGCCTTGAATGATCTTATCTACTCAGTCTGTATAGTGATTTGCGGTGCAGAAGTTTCTATGTCCTTCCTCGTCAACTCGTCCCTGTGTGGTTTTCAGCTGTTACTGATACTGAACAGCTCTTTGACCCTGTACCGCTGTCCACAGGAGGAGATCAGTGGAGTGATCACGCTGTTTTACGTGGTGCCCAACCTCGCTCCGTATACCGAGTACGAGTTCCGAGTGATCGCCGTCAATAACATCGGGCGCGGTCAGCCCAGCGTGCCCGTCCAGGTCACCACCGGACCCACAGGTGAGCCGACCGGTCACAGGCGGGTCATAGAGGTCATGGAAGGGCGGTGGGGTCAACGCTGAGTGACGAAATTGGTCATAATTAAAATAGAAAACTTTGCTGGAAAATATTGCTGGAATCCTAAAACATTTGTCAAATCGTACGATTACGCACATTTTTATACTAGGTTAACGTTATTGCTTAACCCTCGCCCGTAAACGGCGATCTGCCACCTTCGCCCATGCAGGGGGGGGGGGGGGTTGGTGCGACCCCCCCCTTGGCGTTTGAAAACGGAGCGTCGTAGAGCTTAGCGGAAAAGACCAACGGATTGCTCTCGCCGAGATCTCGCGATTGGTGGTATATTTTTTGGTCCTAGGTCAACATTTGACCTACTTATGACCGGTCAAAGGTCAAATTTTCGGAAACAATAGACTTTTTCAACTTTCCGCGGCGATTGCGGCAAAACGGTCGGAGATATCGACTTGAAACCTTCACTATCGTGTTCCTTGATCAATTCTCTATCGTTTGGTATGTATTTCGTTTCCCTAGCTCTAAAAATGGCGCGTTGGGAGCGCCGGAAGTCGGCAAGGTCACAGTCGGCGGCAGAAATTCGAAAAATCAAAATTTAAATTTTTGAAATCTGATTGTATTTTTGGATTTGGGAGGTCCATTTGCTCCCTATAGAAGCTAATATTGCTGAATATTCCCATTGAGGTGACAAGAATTAGCAAAATAGTGGTTCGGGCGTTTTTCAAAAATAGTACCGGACGCTGTTCCTCTTGTGACGTCATAGCTCCGTGACCTGACCTGACCCGGTCAGGTTTCTTATACCATATAATAGCCAATACTTGCCCCAACATGCATGGGAAGTTTCATCACGATCCATCAACCGATGTTCGTACCACCGGCAGGAAACCTCGGGCGTTGGCACTCAGTTTGTGAAAATCCGACCGGAGGCTGTTCCCTTTGTGACGTCATAACTCCGTGACCTGACATGACCCGGTCTAATTTTTTTTTATCAAAAGATGCGCAAGGTTTGCCCCATAAGGTACCCAAAATTTGGCGGCGCTGCGCGCCGCCGTTTTTGCACTATTTCCGAAAAACCTCAGGGGGGGGGGGGGGTTGCACCAACCCCCCCCCTACATGGGCGAGGGTTAATTCGTATATTTGATAGATACACGAGCCCAGGCATAGTTCATTGCAGAGTTATTAGCCAATTTGTAAACTCGCATCCTGGGAATCTGTGTGATGTGTCGCCGAGTGGTCTGTGTGGCTGCATCGTCTTTATCCGTCATCTGATCATTGCTGTCAACAGTTCCTCCCGGCGCGACGGTCGTTCTCGTGAGACAGGTCGATGTGCCCTCTGACTTCATTACCCCCCCCCCCACCCGTAATGCACCGCAGCGCTGTATAATGTGTCAGTCGGGCAGTACGTCCCCTGTGTCCTGTGTATGTATGTATCCTGTCCTCCGGTGACGGTCCCAGCTGTGTTGTGACGCCGCAGAGGGGACGGAGACGCGCGCTGTTAGCGCGGTGCGCCACTCGCTGATGGCTGCGTACCGCCGCTCCCCGAGGCGCGGTCCCATTACACCTCCCCCAGTGCCGTCTCCCGGTGTCTCCCTCCCTCCGTCTCCGTCTCTGGAGACTGGTGACGTCTGAGAGGCGCGTCCCGCGGGGGGACAGGTCGCTGCCTGGTCCCACCGTGTCTCTGACCGTCCCCACCGCCCGCCCAATACTGATGTGTTATTCATGTGCTGAGCGCGACAGGCTTTTAACCGTCGCCGCGGCGACCGCCCCGCGACCTGTCGTGGTCCTCCTCCCCTCACACTTTGTCTCCTCCTCTCGCTCACTCGTCTGCTCTGTCCCGTGCGCGGCGGACACAGTCGGACGTGGATCGGCCCGTAAGTGGATCGTCGGTGTTGTCTTACACGTGCGAATGGCACCATCTGCTCCTATTTGGTTGTTTCGATGTTAGCTCGTATGCTCGCTGCTTATTTGTTTCGTTATGACTTGTAGAAGCCCCACGCATTTTTTTCGATTCATTTGATTGATTTCACTCTGTCAATTATTTAGCTATTATTTCACCTTTAGTTTCGACGTATGCATTATTGCGAAGCAACGCCACATTTTCAGTATTTTTGCCTTCATTCGATGCCCTAATAGCTCTCAGTAGCTTTTAGCCTAGCCGTCTGCACTTTGCTCGTATACTTGTCGAAAGCTTTCACGGAGCGGCGTCTCAGTTGGGAGCACTGCCCCCGATGTATTGTTTGTCTGAGGATCTCGCTCGGTCTCTGTCTCGGGGGTGTTGGAACTGACGGCTGCTCTCTCTGAGGGGTTGAGTTCACACGTGCCGGTGTGACCAGCTGCCGCGCCCCACACACACGTGGCCACCCCCCGGGGACCGCGCGGAGGACCTGACTCGTGTCTGGGCATTTGACGGGGTTCCCTGTACACGACTGTGGCGGACTCCGTGCTGTGACCTGCCCCACTCTCGGGGGGCTGACAGACAGTGCCGTCAGCCACCGGGAAAAGGTCAGCTCCAGAGAGTCGGATCCACTCAGCTGCTAATTACTGCAGTCTTTGAGTCGTGGCGTCATGCTGAACTAAGGTTAATTGGTGACGTCATTCGGAGAGGATGTGATGTCAGACGTAGCCATTGAGCCCGGCCCGAACACGGCATTACCCATGCGAATGATGTGAGTTACGATGTACGGGGCCAAGGAAGATACTAAATTTTGACGATGGATATTGAATAAAAAAAAAAAAAAAAACGTCGCTTTAAATTATGATCATTGGTGAAGCTTCTGCTTCCTGATAAAGATATTCGTGATGGTGTCAAATGAGCTCTGCCGTCTGTCAGATTGTGTCAATCGCATTCGCATGCGACCTCTACCCGGACTGGGAAAGCCAGCACCGTAGCGCACATGATCACTTAGTTTAGTTTCTGCACCCGGACCCGAGTGGGGCGGAACTGGCGTGGGCTGACCGCCGACATTGACTCTGACGTGTTCAGTGTTTGGTTTCGCCTTGTTCAGTTTGCCGCCGAGAAACATTATTCCGGCCAGCGTAAATCGAATTTTCCTACCTTGTTTCGGCCGATCGTGAGTCGCCTGCCAAGCTGTCCTGGCGGCGCGGCGGTAAATACTGCGGTAAAAGGCAGAACTGCCCGCTTCCGGCGGCAGCCTTTCTTCCACCGCGGCGAATAAGTGGAAAGGCTTGGGTCCCTCTTTGTGATGCAAAGGGTTATTTGCTGTTTTCTTGTGGTATAGGTGGTGAGTACAATGGGGCTATATGTTCGGGTGTCAACAGTATTGTCACATAAATTGGGTTTATGGAAGTGTTACGTGCCCTCTCTGTAGTGCATTTAAGTCAACCAAGGCGAAGACGAGCTTTGATTCGTGATGTGTCACACAAGCCTCTTCGAAAATGTTGCGGTGTCTTTTCTGCGGCCACCTGACACCGTCTCCGATCCGTCTGACCTGAAACCTGTGTGCTCGGTGACCCTTATGACCCAGACCTGTGGACCCGTCTGACCTCTGCCTCTCGGCGGTTACAGAGCCGGGCTCGGCGCCGAAGAACGTGCACGTTCGCCCGCTGAGCTCCAGTACCCTGGTGGTGAAATGGGACGGTCCCGACCAGCCCAACGGACAGGTGAGGAGAAAGGGAAATAAATGGTGAGATGGGGTTTGTTTCAGAGGACAGTTTCTGTTTTATCTACTGTCGCTGGAACCGAGTGACCAATTATCGTAACGTACTCGGGTGAGAGTGTGATTGGTCAGCGTCAATGAATCATTGTGGTCAGCCTCTACTGCTCGAAGGGGCATAAGTCATCATGCCTGCCATTAGGTACCTGTTTAACCACCACAATTAGCAGCAAACGGGGGAACATGGCGAAACCTCAGCAGTCAGCTGAATGCCTTCACGAGCACAACTTTCATAGTTCTAGTCTGCACCGTAAAAGAAGTTTTGTCGTGACGGTGTTTATGCCTTGTAAATTATATCGTCCGTATGACTAACTTTACCCCTCTCTGCCCCACATCAGATCACCAACTACCGTGTCTACTACACTCGGACTCCGGACAAGCCCCTGAAGCAGTGGGAGTCGGACGTGGTGAACGCCGGCAGCACCACCCTCACCACCATCTCCAACCTGATCCCGCACGAGATCTACACGTTCCGCGTGCAGGCCGAGACGCTGGCCGGCTCGGGGCCCATCTCCGTACCGGTGCGAGCCAAAACACAGCAGGGAGGTGAGTCAGGCGTCGCCGTGGGACGGTGGGGTATCGTGACGGTTGGTGCAGAGGCTTGTAATGTTACAGTATGATGCAGTGTGTGCAGCAGGAGCTTGCTCTTAGACAATGTATATTATCAATGCACATTACTGGTACCTTTAGTAGCTTAGTATTGTGCGTCATACGCTTTAAAGCCACGTTAGCCATTAAGTGTTCCCGTCACTCCCGCCCCAGTCTATTGCTATCCGGCGCGGTTGGTAGCCGGGCGCTGTCACCCAGGGCTCTGTCTCGGGTGCTGCCGTGCCGGCTCAGTAGTCGCCACTGCCTCCCCGCAATGAATGCCGCACGTGCTCCACAGTCTGCCGGCCAACTCGGCCGTCTGATTAACCGCGATCTTAGCGGGCTTTCGGCGCCGCCCCGGCCGGATCCCCGGCCCGGTTACCGAGTGGGTACCCAGCTCAGTGGTGACTCAAAGAGAAGCTCAGTGGCGACCCAAAGGGAACCCCTCCCCGCCGCCGCCTTCCGGGCCGCCGGCCACCGCCCGGCATTTAATAACGCTAAAAATTGGATTCCTTCTCCTAGGCTTCGCCGGAACTGTGTCAATTAAAGTTGACAGAAACGCCTTCGTCAGTTAATGGGCTCATTTGGAGACGCTAATTATGTTAGCCGACACGCTCCTTTTGGGCGCGTCTGTCGAATGATTGTCTGCCTTTCCCTGTCCTCTCTCCACACCTGCTGTGCGTAATGACGCTTGCGTATTCATTCATTCGTTTATTCATTCATTCATTCATTCATTCATTCATTCATTCATTCAGTCATTCGCTCATTTTTACACGGATTGGCCGATCCACCGATCCACCGGAACAGAGCGGGCTATGAGGAACACGCGGCTCAGTCCGGACCGGAGACGTTATACAGTGGCTGGGGTTGGCGGCTAGCGCTGCGGGATTGTGAGCAATATACCTATTGAGCATTCGACTCTTGACCGAAGTTTTTATCGTTACAGTGAATATCGATAACATGTGCGTATGTAATCGAAGAAGTCGCTTTTTAAAGGACAGTGGACTTTTTAAATTGTTCGTAGAAACGTGGATTCTTAATATGAATAACAAAAAGACAGAAATGCATTAGCAATTACAAATAACAAAACCAACAGCACGGGGTTTCAACTCCAGTGTACTAATTATGAAACATGGTAGCACGAGTTATTCACCGGTAAGCTAAACGTTTTAATGATCTTCTAAGCTTCTAGACATTACGCAACACAACATTTACACAAAGTGGCATTATGTAAGACGGCATTACCATACGAGTCTGTCAGACGTGCCACGAATTGAGTGCACTCCCTGTACCCGCATGCCTGATCAGACGATCCTGCTTTCCCTATAATGTTTGTTTTATCCGAAGCCGATATCAGGTCTTCTCGTGTTTCGTTTCCGGACGTTATACATTCGAGATAATTTATGTGTCTGATATGAGGTCTCATGATTTCTTATGTTGTGTAACGTTTAGCCGATGATTGTGTTTGCGACTCCATCATCCTTACAGGTGCTAAACTTTTTTAACTCGATTGACTCTTGACCTAGGTTTGCTTCTCGTCTAGCTCTACTTGACTTCTATATTAACCTGTCAAATCATGTTTCACAATAACCTTCCTGTTCTCTCTGGTTTGACGTGCCTTATTAGCTCTTACCCAAACCTGACCTCTCCACCCGTCATCTACTCTGACATCTCACCTGCCCTCTGATCTGACCTACCTCGTCTCCCCTATGCGGCAGTGCCCAGCCAGCCGAACGGCCTGCGAGTGGTGAAGGCGGACGCCACGACGGCCGAACTGGAGTGGGACCGCCCCTCCCACTCGGGAGAGAGCATCATCAACTATGTCGTCTACTACAACGACTCGTATGATGCGGTGAGTGGGCCGTGCGGTGGTGTCGAATTGGATGTACAGGTTCGGAGAGGACAGGGAGAGGAGGAGGGGAAGGTTTGGTATATGAGAATTAGCTTTAGGCTGTTGGTGAGTGATTGCTTTGGTGGGATTCCGATAGGTTTTCAGTGCTATCTGGTGGGGTTTGTAGTGAAATCACAACAGGCAGAACGGTAGACGGTCTACTGGATCAGACCTTTGCTGGCTGGAGTGTAAAACTTCAAAGCCGCCACCCCCTCCCGTCTCATGGCATCCTGTACCGTGCCTTCAAGTGCCGCTCAGTCGAGTCCCGCCGTGTTACCCACGTTAACATCAGGCTTCTCAAACGCTCCTCTGCTGTGTTTCCATCACTAGTGCAGCGCCGATATAAGCTTGGTAACTAAACTCTGCCCGTTACCACTCGGGGAAGCAGACTGACAGCGCGGCGAGCAGGGAGTTCCGTCTGGTACCGGCTGTCGAGCAGCTGCTGAACTCGTGTGGCGGGTCTCTACGGCACAGCAGCTGCATTTGCCCCTGATGTTTCATGGCCTCTTCATTCATGCGTAATGCTAAAATGTCATTTGTCTGGCAGAGCACTATTCGCGAGTTTATTCTGTCGCTCCATTGGTGGAGTTTGGTAGGAGACTGCGCTCAGAGACACCCTAATTCGGCGGAAATGATATCACCGAGTCTTTGTCTGCCAAAACGTGATGGGACGTAGGCTTATCATGGTGCCACCCGGAAAAGCTTCACTGGCTGTTACCCGGAGCTGGGAAGACAAGGTCAAACTAACGCTGTTGCCAGTCAATGACAATAGAGCTGTAGAACACGCATAACTCAACTTTGCCATTGGTGTAGCAGAAATTATGTTTTTTTATAGTCATGCCACTTTATAAAAAAAAAAATATTCATATTAATTTCGTTCGAATTATGCAAATGCTTTCGATGTGCACCGTACCAATGGCAATGATCGGCAACTTTTCTTTGTACCGACCCACACTCGAATGCAGCACTCTTTTCACACTCTTCCGATGCATTAACCGATTAAATCGTGACATTTTAGCGATCTGTCTGGCGTACACCGTTATCTATGTAGGTCAGCATGTCAGGCGTCCGGCGCGTCATTATAATCAATGCCGGACCGCTGAATGATCGTAGCCCGACTGACTGCCCGCTAGGCGACTGTGTATTGATTGCTCGCCACTCGTGCCTGGCGCAGGTAACCACGCTTCCATCAGGGGACAACTGGAGTCCGCTGATTGTCAGGAGGCCTTCAAAGAGTGGTCACCCGGTCTCAAAAACCAATTACTACATACAAACCAGCATCTATCCTCTGGAACTGTCTACTCTTGGGGATTACGGGGATCGGCAGCCCCGTATAGCCATGCCCTCGTAAAGTGTCTTTTCTGTCATATTGTATTTCCCAGCTGCGACTACTTTGCCTTAGGTATCACTATCGCTCCTGCCCGGGTTATGCCTACCTCTCTGCCGGGGTCCCCGACCATTGTCACCCGCTGAGTCCCCCACCATCGTTTGTGTTCGCTCTCTTCCATCTGGTATACCTGTGTGACCAATATAGGCTCACTGTGTCCAATCCGCGGACCGGCCGACCGGACAAATGGTGTCCAGGTAATCCTCAGTGTGCCGAGAGTAGGGCCGATTGGTCGGTCATGTATCCTGATCTGAGCCAGGCTCTGTCGCCGCCGGGCAGTGCCGTGCCGAGCCGTGTCCTTCCGTCCCGTGTCGTACCGTACATACTAGGCCGTGCCGTGCTGTGCCGTGTCGCACGAGATAATGCTCTCGTACTGTGTCGGGCAGTGCTGTGCCTCTCACCGTGCCGGCACGGCACGAGGATATTTGTATTCCATTCATCATATGCTTGACTCTTTGTTGAGTGGTCTTAGTATACCATTTAAACACTTGACCCTCTAATCGCCCCATTTCCGGTGGGTCTGCAGTCCGGGGGCGGGGCGGGGGCGGCGCGTGTGAGCCTCCGTCGACTCCCGTCGTCTCCGTCGCAGATCGGTATGAACGGCACGTACATTGTCGGCGGCGGAGAGCCGAGTGCGCCGCCGGGTCGCAAACTTGGCTGTCGGGCCTTTTTGGCGCGCCGTGGCGGCCGTTTCAATCAAATTAGGCCGCTCTGCGCGCTCCTAATGGATCCGAGGAAGAGGCTGGTCGGCCGGGGCCACGGCGGCGGCGGCGACAGCGGCGCGCCGGCACGGCGGTGGCTGGGGATATGTATTATTCAGCCGGCCCTCCCCCGGGCCCGAGCGGCGCCGCTCCCCCGTGTGCGCGGCCGTGTTTGGTGTGTGTCTCTGACGGAGATGTGATGACTCCGGTCATGGTGGTCCAGGGCGCGGCGTAGGGACGGCGGTCGACTGGTATACCCCCTGTGTTGGACCTCGACTATAAGCTGCTGACTTCTCGTGTCCTTTGCCTCGTGTTTCTTTGTTCCCATCCCTTCCGCTCTGCTTTCTTCACGTTTCCCTCAGGTCCTGTCCTACCTTTTCCCATCTCTTCCCTCTTCCCTCCCCCTCCCCCTCCTCTCCCTGCGGACACGGCAGCAGCGGATGCGCCGTCGGCCGGCCGCCGCGGCACGCTGTTTAATTCGCCCAGCCTGCCGTCGGTTATGAATATTAAAGCGCGCCAGCCGCTGATTCTCGGTAATGAATTGGTGACGGCTGCTGCTGGTCGGCCAGATTGCAGGTGTATGTGCCGGCTCGCCCGCCGAGCCGGTCTGGCCCGCTCGATTGGACGGGATATGGTATGTCAGTCTGGCGCTGAGGGGGATGCCGAGGGGTAGATGGGACAGAGAGACCCTCCGACGGACGGGGAGGGGGTATAGTTAGTGGTGTGTTGGATGTCCCGTCCTGTGCCATTCCGGCGTATGAGGTGTGCTTCTGGCGGTGTACTAATCCCAGACAGCGTCCAGGGACCGCTCGAGCGCCTCCGGTTATACCGAGAGCGGGACAGGCGGGGCGGGCCAGGCGCCAGCTTCATTTGAGGCCATGCGCCGCGCTGGTATTAAAGGAATAAAACCACCGCAATAGGCCCGGCTTGTAGGGAGATTGCCAATGTAACGCGAATACGGGATAGTTGGAATGGATGGTTATCACGAAGATGGGCTGTTCCCTGGTTGCAATATATTTTATAGGGATTTCGAACGGAAATCTGGCTGGAAACTGAATCTGAGTTTATATCCAGGGAAGTCTGCACTGCTGCACTGTGAGCTTATTTTTATATTCGAACCGTCACGCATGTGAGCTGTTCTCATCCCGCCTGTTCCTTTATCCAAACGCTCTTATCTCACCTGTGTTCTGCTGTCTTGTCCCGATATCCGCCCTCATTCTTCGACCACCCCTCTGTCCATCTCCTGTTTTCATGGATCCTTTCACCAGCCATTCACATCTTTTTCATTTCATTTCATCAGTCCATCCGTCCGCCATTCTGTCTGCCACTCCCCCAGCCTGTCTGTCCATGCTCTGTCCTTCCGTCTGTCCCTGCTCTGATGCTGTGTCCAACCGTCTGCTCTCATTCAGTCGGCGCGCCTGCCGTTGTCGGCCGCCGGGATCCCGTCGGAGCCGCACAGTCGCAGCCATGCTGAGCTCCAAACGACCCACCGGCTGCAGCCGTTCTCTGTTCCGACCACATTCCGCTGATCCTCCAGCCGTTGTCGCGGCGTATTGACGCGGCGCCGGCTTACCTGGCGCACCTGCGGCTTACCCGGCGCACGGCGGGCTTACTCGGCGCACGATGGACTTAGCGATCACTCTGCAGGCTTACACTGCGCAAGCTTCTTCCAGTGCACCGACCTGAGCGAGCGCCGGCCTCAGCTCAGTCTCTTGATCTTCCTTACCTTAGCTCTCTTCAGATAGTTCTCCAGAGCCCAGCCTCAACTCAGCTCACGTCAGCGCCTTTTAGCCTTTCTCAGCTCAACTTCAGCTCACTTTAGCCCACTTTGCCTCACCTCAGCTCACTTCAGCTCTCCTTATCTTACCTCAGCTCGCCAATTCGAGCCGAGTCTAGCCAGCTCGGTTGGCTCCTCCATGATTCATGACCCCGTTCCGTCTGTCTCGCCATATGTGCCCGGCTCCGTTCCATCGACTGCCGGTACCGTCAGACGACTCCGCTGTGCTGCTCCCTCCCAGTCCGTCCTCGGTCCTGTCGGTTCCTCCCCGTCCCTCTCTCCTCCCCCGCCCCTCCCCGTCGGCCCGCGGGCGGCCCGTCTCGAGGGCGCCGTGCTGTTTGAGTTGCCGACAGTTGGCTCGTTCTTGTGTCGTCTCAGCGGCAAGTGGAGCACGTTCCGACGCAAGTTTTGCTCCAACTGAGCACGATCGAGAGATCCGGGTTTTATGGCGCGGTGCGGCCGAAAACGGGACGATTTTTCCGAGATGTGGTGCCGATTCTAGGTGTGGTAGATCCGACTATTTGGAAATCCATGTCGTGAATGGGCTTGTTTGCTAGTTAACATAATCGTCGTTTGTGCAGCGATCATCGATAATCAGACGATGGATTTGTATATTCATATTCAAGGCTGGCAAGTTTCAATGAAGGCAAGGTTTCAATGTTTCTAGACTGGTTTTGTAGGCTGTCTACGTCGCTCGACGACCTGCCATCGCTGGGATGGTGGTGATCTAGTTAATGAGGGAAACCATCCCTGTTCGCGCGCGCTGTGACAGTGTTATGTCCAAACTTGGCTAGTTAGGTCGCCAGTTCATCTTTGATGAGTGTCGCGGCTGGCTTCGACCGGCGGTGACGCTGCGTTGGCTGAGCGACAGAAAAGTGTTGGTATCGTTTTATCACATTTGCTTTTTGTGTTTCTTAGGTTAATTCGTCGACACTTCAACCTATTTGTCGAAGGATGGATGTGTCTATCCCACATACGCTCACACATTGACTTTGAAGTCACATCCCAACAGAAGGGCTGAAGACGGCACACGGCTCTGGTTTCTGGCTGTGACTTATGATCGATGTGATCGATTCCCGGCTAGTGTCCCCCGGTCCGTTGAAGTCACCGTTGAATCTCTACCCGCTGTCGGCAGCGTGGGCGTCTGTTCTCCGTACTGATTGTTATGACTGGCTGGAACCGCTAACGGCCCTATAAAACCACCGTGCGCTGATTGGGGTGCGGCGTCACAGCCGGAACCGAGGCGGGGTCGGCGGAACGCTGATTCACCGTGTGTGTCCGAGTCCGATCCTCTCTGTAAACCCAGTCCGGTCCTCCTCTGTAAACCCGTCCCGGGACTGGAAACAGTAACCGGCGGTGTCTGCTCAATAAAACTTTGGCGCTTATTTTCTTCCCAGCAACAAGTATGCTGTGCCTTTTTTCGCCCAGCCCTATGCCCAATGTCCATTATGGCGTAATGGAAAAGCTGGACGAATCGTCAGCCTAATGCTTTCTGCCGACGATATGACCCTATGATCGCTGGGCCACCCGTGGGGCAGAGAAAGCAGTAAAGAACCGTATAACTTTCCATAATTATTTACCTTCAGTTCCCTGTCCGGGCCAGCAGCTGGATGAGGAAGTGTATGTGATTCATGGAAACATGTCGACTATAAAGTAATGTAGTACTCCGTTCTGATAATGTAGTACCTAATCCGTTCCTCTGTGCTGGAGATTGGATAAATCTCCGGGTTTGTCTGAGGGGGTCGTGGTGTACGAGGAGCTACGAGTTGGCCAGGCTGGGTTCAGGTCGGCGGGGTTTAGCCAGTCGCGCCGACTAGGTAACAAATTTGTCGTACCAACTGGTAAGCCGTTCGGCGGAAGCTTGCTGAGATTAAAAACTCTAAGCTTTCCGGCGATTCCTGCCTCAACTTTTGTGTCCGTCGATAGAGTAGCAATACATGACCTGTGCACCCCTTGAACTGGGACCTGTGCTCTTCCGGTTAGTGACTTCTGGCAGCTGTAATCTCTAGTCAGTGGCCGCCGTGGCCGCTGTGACCTCTGTTGACCTCTGGTGACCTCTGCCCGCAGGATGAGCGTCGGATCAACATCCCGGTCCGTGAGCAGTACACGATGGAGGGCCTGTACCCGAACACCCAGTACTTTGTGTGGGTGGCGGCCCAGTCGGGCATGGGAGAGGGCGCCGCCACGCCGGCCGTCTCCTTCCGCACGGACGAGTATGGTGAGACCCCCGACACCCCTTCCCCCCCCCCCCGCCGCGAGCGAGCGCTTTGCACCGAGCACCGCCCTCGGGCGAGCACCGGGCACCTCACGTACTGGTGATATGCGCGCACTGCACTCTCACCAATGCCTAATACACTTATATATTTACATATATATTTCGCACCGTCACTCTGCTCTTGCACCGACTGATTTGCAGTTGCCGCTCGGTTGTATGACTTGTTACATCTGGATGTTGTTGTTGTTATTCCTTTTTCGTACGATGTTTGGTTTGCACGGTCCAGCGGCGGCTAAGGCGGTTGTTGTTGCTAATTGGCTGGTTTGTGCCGGTTCGGAGATTTGTTCTATATTAGCCTATACGCCGCCGCTGGGACTGGGCTGTTCATTTGCTGGCCGCTGGCCGGACGGGCGGTGGCTATGGCCAGAGACCGGTGGCAGTTTTCCTCATGTAAGACCCTCCAGTGGTTATACGGACAGGCAGCCATCAGCGCCTCTCTCCTGCTGCCATCTGCCGGTCTCCGCCGCAAACTCCGCCGCCCGGCCGGCCGCGCCGTTCACCGTTTCGTTCAACATGCGTACTGTTTGGTTCATCACTCCAGTTCGCTGGCTCCAGTTTGGTTGAGGCGGCTGGCGGCGGCGGTAGGGTAGGGTGGGCAGCTGACCGCCCTCCTCTCCCCGCCGCCGCCGGTCGCCGGCCCTCCGTCCCTCCTGCATGTGCACATGGTGCGTGATGCCGCCGCCCCCAGTGCCGGGCGAGGCGCCGCGCGAGGTGGCCGTGCGCGCCATCGACTCGCGCTCGCTGCTGGTTACCTGGCGGCCGCCGCCGGCCGACCAGCAGAACGGCGCCATCACCTACTACAAGCTCTTCTACAAGCTCTCCGGACACAACGACTCGCAGACGGTGCAGATCATTGTCAACGATCCGACGCGGCGCAACTTCACGCTGGACGAGCTGCACAAATACGCCGAGTACTCTGTGCGCGTGCTGGCCGGGACGCGGGTCGGAGACGGCCCCGCCAGCCGGCCGGTACTGGCGCGCACCGATGAGGACGGTACGTACGGCGGTCGAGACGCGCGCGAGAGCCCCGCAGTCGGATGTTTAAATGATAGGACGCAGTAAAACTCTGCAGGAAAACTCTGAATGATGTGGGGGGGGGGGTAGGTTTTATCTTGCTGAAGTGGATAGCTTTGTCAAATTGTTGGTACAAAGACTGTACTTATAATTAATGAAAAGCCCCGATGTGTTGGAAAACCAAAGTAACCCGGCAAAAATGTTGCGTAGTGTCGGGGTTGACCTGTGACCTGGAAGTCAAATCATTCCGCAATACGTCAGCGTCAATTTTCTAGGTGACGGTTTCACCGTGTTGCCAGGCTGATGTAGCAACGAAAATTGTTGATTTCTCAAAAGTCTACCAAAGGCCATTTCCTTATATCTATTGCGATTTCCAGTACAAATGCTGAGACTACACATTTCTTCATCAATTCCCGATGTCCCATCTCATTGTTGAACTAGCCGCTGAGGATCCAGCTGCAGACCTCTCACGTCTCAGACGCGGGCGCAATCGATGGCCGAAATGCAGGCAAATGAGCCTGATCGCGGAGGCTGTGAAGCGGACATTTTAATGGTGTTCGCCGGCCATCTATCTTGGCCGTGCCGTCGGGCTGATATTGGGGATGCCGATCACTGCAGTGCCATCAGGGCCGGCGGGGGCGCGGACCGTTCAGGAGTCGCTGAGGGCCGGGCTGCTCATGGCTGAGTTTCCGGGGATCAGTCTGGGAGCTGACATTGCTTCCGGGGTGATCTGGGGATATTGGCTTCCAAAGTGCTGTTCGGATAAGCTGAGTATCAGTGGTTGTTTAAAGACGTTGGCGGGGGTTATTATTCAAATCTTTTTACATATTTCACTAAAATTTTGTCGGAGCTCCAGGATATTTCATAATGGATTATTGAAAGTGCCAAAGTTCTTTGGCCCGAAATGTAGCGATTTATGGCACATGCTCAGTGTCCTCCGCCGCTTGGTAACGAAACTGTCGCTGCCTGGACCTGGATGATTATCTAACGTGTTCGGTCGAGTGTGATCTCAGTGATGGACCGAACCAATTTTTAAATTCTTACAGTAAAAGAACAGTTCACACAACGCCAAAAGAATGACAACTCTAGTGACAGTGACTTCTTTTTCTTTTTTCCTTTTGGTTTGGCACCAGGCACATAGTCTTTTCTCGTGCACTTGCCAGCATGCTCATCAATAACTTTTAAATGAACTTGGTTACCGGAAGAGGAAATTCAGCCATCTAATTACTTCGATGCTAAGTTAAAGTACGCTCCACAGTGTGTCCTCTGATGCTCTTAAAATTTTAGGCATTGTGGGAGAAGTAATGACGTTGCAAAATTTGAGCATGCAACTTCCTTTACATTGCAAATTCAAATGAGCGACCCTCGACCTTAAATCCATGCACCCATTTTTTTCACACACAAAAACTGTTGAAAGGTAAAATAATCTTTCTCATTTATCTTTGGTGCTTAAATCTTTGGTTCTGAAAACAGTGAAAATTGGCGAAATTCCCTACGCGTTTGGGAAGCGGGACTCAACTATCTCTTCAATAGGACTGTCGTAGACATCACTTGGCAATTCTTTTGCATGGACTTCTGGACTGGCCTGTCGGCCGCTAGCTCCGAGCCTGTGACCAATTTTGAACTGAGATAACCATTTTTCGCGCGACCATTTGGCGCGCGCCCTATTTTGCGTGCGCACCTCGGATCGGACAGTTTTTGCTTGTCTGTTTTTGTCTGACTTTGGTGCGCGGTGATTTTATATCTGGCCTTTCTCTCTGTCTCTTTCTCTGTCTTTCTGGCTCTCTGTCTCGCTCTCTCCTCTCCTCCCGGTCACTCTGTGTGTGGTGCTCTGTCTCTGAGAAGTTCGCAGTGAGTACTCGGGGACGGTCGCCGCCGTCGCCGACAGCCACCGACGCCCGTATTGACGTTGTCGTGAGCGTGTGCACGCCGAGCCGACGTTTTCCCTTTACACTTTGCCTAGCTGGTAGTGATGAATGTGGCCCGTCCCGGCCTGTCAGTGTTGTGTATGACTCCCCGGCACAGTAGCCGCAGCAGCACCCTCCCCTGTCCCCGGGCGGGGGCGGACCTCCGGGCGGGGCGGCGCGGGCGGGCGGAACAGGCAGATCGGTGTCAGCCTAGAGATCAGTGGACTGTTGACGCCGAGTGTTCGGCAGGGCCCGTCCGGCTCCGCTATCAATAGGCATGCCTCAACCGCCGTTCTCTATCTATTTATTGTGTGTCGGCCGACTCGAAGGCGTGTCTGTCGCATTATAGATAGATGGGTGTCGTGTTCATGTATTTTACGGCGTTTTATCGTAAACGTGGTGCTTTAGCCTCACGCGCTAGATTGCATTTGAGCCATTAAGGCCGACATTGCCACCCTTGCTCGGAATTTTACTGAGGCTGTTTTATACGATAACGTTCGTTACACTAATGTTGCTAAAGGTGGCCGCCAGTAACTGAGATAACCCCTAAGACCCTATGTACAGAGAAGTTTTGTGCGACATTCATACGGCTGAACGAGACCTACCCGAACTAATGTGACCTTCGATGGCTTTATGAGATCTCTGCGACAATCGCAACGTACGCTGATACTCGCGACATTTGCCCAACACTCAGCGCACCTCAATGACCTGTTGGTCTCTGTGTGACCCCCACCTGACCTCGATGTGACCCGCTGACGGCTCGCCGGCCCACAGTGCCCGGGAAGCCTCGGAACCTGACGGCTGTGGTGCTCAACTCGACGGCCGTGCAGCTGTCGTGGGCGCCGCCGAGCGACAACGAGCGGAACGGCATCATCCGCGGGTACCAGGTGCATGTCCAGGAGCTGGGCTCCGAGGTGAGTCACTGAGAGGGAGAGGGGAGGTAGCGAGGGGGCAGGGGAAGTGGGATGGCCCTTTTTTGGTTGACGAATGGGAGGAGATGGGTCTTCTAAACTTGGTGGCTGTTGTGGAAGGATGTGGAATGAGACGATATAATACTGCAAGGTGCAATTTGGGAATTAATTCAAGGGAAGACTTGATTAAATTTAGCCTAAACATTTGTGCGTTTCTTACTTTTGCGTCAGCTAGCTTTATATTTATCTACATTTTATGTGTCACTAGTCCTCAGGGTGCAGTACTTGTCTTATCGAATCGTGTGTAAGGCCGCTTCCTGTCGCCACTGACTCTACTACACCATCTAACCCGGTCTCTCTCCCGGCGGACAGAGTGGCGGCTCGACCCGTCCTCGGCGGTATGAGATCCGGAACGGCAGCGCGGACGGTTACATCGCCTCCGACCTGCAGCCCAGCACCGCCTACCTGTTCAGGGTCAGTACGGGGGCACAGTGGGTCAGAACGGGGTCACAGCAGTGTGAGGGGAGAGGTCAGTGGAAGAGTCAGTAGGGATGGCTGGGAGGGGGAAGGAGAGAGGTCGAAGGGTGAGACTAATTTGAGTTATGTCTTGAGCTATGATGCTATGGATTTTTTTTCCGCTCGTTAGACTGGCTGCCTAGTGCCTGCTGGCTAGGCTTACCACTGAGTGTTTCTGTTCTACCTGCGTATTCTCCTAACCGCTGTGCTCCGTCGGCCAGGTCTCTGCCCTGACCCGGAAGGGAGACGGCTCGCGCAGTGACGCCGCCCGGGTCACCACGCAGGGTGGAGTGCCCAACCGGCCCAAGGTCATCATCAAGTGAGTAGGGCCGTCTCGTTTGCGTATGGAAAAATGGAAAGGTGTCGCACTTTTCCCCGTTCGACTGGAATGCTTGTGGTCTTTCGGCGTTCAAAGAGAAAGCCATCATCACCATCTGTCCGGTTCTTTGACACGCCTGATAGCCGTAGGACCGTAGGGCATCCTGCTGTTATACCGTAACGAAGTCACATCTGACATCCGTTGTATCCAAACACCACGGGTTATAAAGCTACTCACTTTTCCCGACGTGCTTCCAGAGTGATCAAGGAGGAGGAGCGCGTCACGCTGGACGTGGAGTGGTCGCGGCCCACCGAGACCCACGGCCCGCTGCTGGGCTACCGGCTGCGCTACGGCCGGGTCGGCGGTCCCGGGCCGCTCAAGGAGGTCAACATTGCCGACAACACCACCCAGTACCGGCGGCTCAGCGACCTGGGTGAGACGGCGACGAGCCGGCGGGCTCTCTGCATTTGTTGAGATAGGAATATTGGAGAAGAGAGGTGGTATTGGTGGGGCCCTTAATGCCCTTATTTTTGTCTATTGCTCATGTTTACACTGCGTTTCCGTATGGGCTGCCGAATTGTGTCGTGATCGATTGACCAGTGAAAAAGTGTATAAAAGTGTATAAGATGTCTGTTCAGACTGGACGGTTTCTCTAATACACAATGGCACAGATAACAGTAGTACTGTGACAATGGGCATTCCAAAGTGCCCATCGCGTGCTGCAAAAGAGCTCTTGCTCTCGCTTAGCCCATCTTATCTCGCTGTCTTTATCCACTGACTTCTGCATTCGTTCAGTCTGTCTGGCTGCCCATCTAACCCGTCGCTCCACCATCTGACACTCCTCCCCCCCCGTCACAGAGCGCGGCGTGCAGTACGAGTTCCGCGTGTCGGGCACCAATGACGTGGGTCACGGTCAGGAGGAGATAGTGATGTACGTGACCAGCGAGGGGGCGCCGTCCGGGCCGCCCTCCAACGTCTCCTTCAGGTGAGCAGCGCTGGGAACTCACCCGTGTGAGAACTCACTCCGAACTCACTCAGGCAAAGGTCAGGTAAACGCCAAGGGATGCCGGAAGACGCATAAAGGCGGGGACCGGCCGGTACGGTGTCACCTGAAAGGCCTAATGGCCCGCGGATTCGCGGGGAATTTATGTCGCCCCGTCATCGCCCGTTGTTTTCAGGCGGAATAAGTACCTAATCTCGCCCCTGTGGAAACAGCATTAGGGCATATTCTGCCTGAGCGAACTTGAATCTCTTGGATTTTCTCCGTGTGGAAAGAATGGAAAAGTTTGGTGCGGATCTGCACGAAAATAATCGCCATTTCTCTGTTCTGGCGTGGTCCGATGCATGCCAGTAGAAGTCCCCCCCCCTCTCTCTCTCTCTCTCTCTCTCTCTCTCTCTCTCTCTCTCTCTCTCTCTCTCTCTCTCTCTCTCTCTCTCTCTCTCTCTCACGCTCTTTTTCTCCTTGCTCTCTGTTCTTCGCTGTCTTCTGGTGTTTTTTTATTGTTATCACTATTTTTAATATCGCATTTACGTACTGAAATGCAATTAAGTACAGTTACTTTTCCGTGATTGGTTTAAGCTGATGAATCAAGAGTGCTGAGGTTATTTCCCTAATTCTGGTATTTCCTTTAACCAGAAGCGTTCATGTCTTAATAGCCATTGCAAATGTGTTATTCAGTGTTATCGGCTTTCCAGGGATCAATGGTCTAAATATATAGCGGTTTGACTGCCCGTTCAACGATAGCTGCCTGTAACTTTTTTGCTGTATATCCGACATACGTTTGCCTTCTGAAGGCATTGATCTAGCTCTTGCGATGGAGAACATAATCAATAATCCAATACACGCTGCTTTGAGATAAATGCTTTATTTTTACACGCACTAGTCATCCATTGAGCAATGCTGTCAAGTCGTGCTATTGTTCAATTTACCGTAGGACATTTTTAGCCTCACCAGCATCGTTCGAATAGGCTCAGTCACACAATGATCTAAATCTACTGAGGCGATCGAACCTATTTATGGCACTGCTGCGCAAATGTATGGCCGTATTTTTGTCCTTTGATTTGTGCGGTACCATAAATTGTAACGTATTTAGACGAAGTCGCTAGATTTGGGAGCGTAATGGCTTACGCGCGTGACATTGTTACAATGTCACGGAACACATATCGTGATCATGTATCCGTTTTGAGCGATAATGCTGGAGCATGGAGTATTAACACAAAAAGGTTAACCCTTTACTTTGTTTTGAGAGGCAATTGAAGGCATTCAGTTGGGCTAGTAGCTCGTTCAATTTGGTCTTCTGGAGACTCTACTTATTACCAGTAAAACGCCTTTTGGGCGAAGAACGAGCGAGCGAGATAGTGAGCCCTGCACGTGCGGAAGGGCGAGAGGGTGCTTCCAACGGGCTTGCGCAAAGCACCCTTCTAACCGGTCGCTAGCGGTGTGCCAAATTTGAACGCAATCGGCCCAGCCGTTCCTGAGATCTAGAAGCGGCATTCTGCACGTGCGCACGTGCAAACGGGGTTCAAAATGACTTTTGCACGGCACCCTACTAACTGGTCCCCAACCGTGTACCAAATTTGAGCGCAATCGGCCCAGCCGTTCTCGAGATCTGGAAACGCCCCCTGCACGTGCGCACGTGCAGTAGCACCCTAACCGCAACACATGGGAATGCATTGCCTGGTGGGTGCCTACCTGTATGCCAAGTTTCAGCGAAATCGCCCCAGTAATTACCGAGTTACTGAAATGGGAACAAATTTGGCACCTCTTATTGTTGTATTTTGCACGTGCACTGGGGAGACCCACATGCATCGAGAGTATCCTATTTTGGGTAGAAGGGATGCTGCTACCCTACAAAAATTACCGCAAGTCAATCGCCCAAGCGGCTGCTGAGATATGAGCCTCTCAAAATCACTACTTTTGCAAAACAGCTTGAACACCCTTGACTTTTCACGTGGCACGTGCCACGACCGTCACTGAGATGTATCAAAAGTAGTCAATTACGGGGTAGAAGGGATGGGGCTACCCAACAAAAAAGACCGCAGGCCAATCGGTCCAGCGGTTGCTGAGATATAAGCCTCTCAAAAGCGTTACAGGCCGGGCCGGGCCGGGCCGGGCCGGGCCGGGCCGCTCATACTGAGATTTTTCCGTTATATTGAAAAGACTCACCTCGCTCGCTGCGCTCGCTCGCTCGTAACCACACGTCTTGTTGAGACTCAGTGACCCCAGAGTGACCCTGTGTGTCTGTCTCTTTGTTCCAGGTTCCAGACCACTGACCGGGTTGCCTTCACCTGGGACCCGCCGCGCTCCGACCAGCGCAACGGCAAGATCACCGGCTACAGCGTGCGCTTCCACAAGAAGGGCAACATGGACCACGTGCAGCGGCTGCACCCCAACGAGACCAAGGTGGGCGCGGAAACTGGCGGGGGGGGGGAGTAAGCGCCGCGGCTTAATTGGATGGGGGGGGGGGCTATGTCGGTTATGTTGGCTTACTTTGGACATTGTTGCAAGGATCAGGAAACCTCCTCTTTTTAGCGATATGTTTTTTATGTAATAGTATATTCCACTATCAACTAGGCTACAGACATAGATGTCTGTAGATGTAGACATAGATGGGGTGTGACTTAAGAACCTGATAACAGCAGATCTGCTGTCATCAAGTTTTTAAGTCACACCCCACTACACAACCACATCACATTCTCAATCACTGTGAACCCTGTACCCGGCTTCATCTCACCACTCTCACTCACAACTCACTCATCTTCGCCTCCCCTTCCCTCACGTCCGTCCACCCGCAGGTGGTGTTTGCCAGACTGGAGGAGAACACCGAGTACGAGTTCCGCGTGCTGGCCAACACGTCGGTGGGCTCCGGCCCGTGGAGCAGCCCGGTGGTGGTGAGAACGGACGCCGACCTGGTGCGGCCGCCCATCAACCTGCGCGCTATGGCCACCAGCTACTCGAGCGTCGAGGTCTGGTGGGAACAGGTGCACACGGCCACGCAGATCGTCGGCTATCAGGTGAGAGACGGGGAGAGGGAGAGAGTAGAGGGGGAAGTGAACAGATTGGTGGACGGACATATATTATGTAATAAGTCAGTCTGCAGTCAGCTGGGTTAAGTCATTGATGCTTAATTATTCGTAAATATCACTGTTTTTTTCTTCAGTAAAATGTATAACAGACAATATAATATTGTTAGTACTTGAGCAACGAACATTGAACATATTAGTCAATTCACAGCGCCGTGTGCCCCATGTGCGCTGACCTCGATAACACCCGTCTACCCTTGCTGACCGGTGTCCTCTCTGTGCAGGTATTTTACGCCATGGTGCCAGACGTGGATCTGGACTCGTGGTCGTTCAAGACTGTGCCCATCACCACCTCGGCAGAGCTGGAGAACCTCGACAAGAACGCCCAGTACGCCGTCATGGTGGCCGCCAGGAGCAAGGCCGTGAGTGTGCCGACGGCTTTATCTCTGTCCTAGGGCGAGGAAAGGGGTAGCGCCGACGCCCATTGTCGACTCCGCCCCAATACACACATGGCTATTTAGGGCTGAGAGATAATGTGGGTGATGTTTCCATGGTCGTAAGGCGAACAGTAGTACTCGATTTATGTAGAAAACGAGGGAAATACGGTTTGCGGTAATGATGTTGTGACTGGACGATCCTGGTGCAAACCTAACGCAATGTTGATCCTCACTTTAATCTTCAAGTTGTTTGCTGACCTCGAGCAGGTAACTCCCATTCCGCCCCGCCCCCACCACCTCTGAACCGCCCCGCTCCCACCCACAGGGCCTGGGTCGCCTCTCCGACCTGATCCGCGTCCGCGTCAAACCCATCGACGTGCCGATGAACCTGCGCGCCAAGAACGTGCACACGCACGGTATGTCGCTCAGCTGGGGCCCTCCTGTTCAGCTGAACCCGCGCAGCTACCGCGTCCGCTACGACGCCGTCAAGGAGTTCCTGGACGCCGAGGGCGTCACCCAGTCGCAGCGGATCCAGGCGCGCACCATGGTGGTGGACGCCGGCCGCTGCGACTACACCAGCAGCTCGACGAACGCCTGCGGCCTGGTGATCGACTCGCTGGAGCCGTTTACCACGTACACGGTCAATGTGACGGCCGTGCCCAACGACAGCGAGTACCGCGCGCCGGCAAAGATCAGGGTCACCACCCATATGGCCGGTGAGTGAGGGGAGAGGAGGGGGCTGGCTTGGAAGTGGGATGGGGGAACTGGGATGGCCGTTCGCTAGTTGAAATATTGGTATTGTACTCAGTTTCAACCGTGTATTATGTGCTCTTGCGTCTTTTTCTCAGTAATTTGTCATGAAGATTTAGTCTTTTAGTCACTTCCATATAAGATTAATGATCACCTATCAAGCAGAGCGACCCTGCTTATAAGCTGTAGTACGTCAGTCCCTCTCTCCCTCCCTCCCTCTCTCCCTCTCTCCCTCTCTGCCCACTGAACTCTCCCTCTCTGCCGCGCAGCTCCCCAGCCGATGGTGAAGCCGGACCCGCTCGGAGTCCGTAACGGCCGCGAGGTGCTGGTCATCCTGCCGCGGGCCTCCGAGGAGTACGGACCTATCTCTCACTACTACATCGTGGTGGTGCCAGAGGACACCGTCAACCCCTACAGACACCCCGAGTCGTACAGCACCAAAAACGTCAGTGGCCGCCGGTGTGATTGATTGATTGATTGATTGATGAATTAATGAATTGACATAATCGTGTGTATAGTGTGTCCAGAAGGAAGGGAGATCGGTTTGTTAGGCTCAGATTTGCTGGTAGGCTGACACTGATTCTTTTTTATTGTTGCGAATCTTTTGGTCATGGCATGAGTCACTGAGTTATTCGCTTTTTATTCTGAAACACGGTTATTTTTTTATATATTTTTTAAAACATCAGAGCCTCTGTATTAGCTTATGAGTATCTCCAAGCTAAATTCTGTCTGAGAGCGACGGCTAACCCTCTTCCTTTACGCTTCAGATGGTACAGACCAAGCGGACCAAGCTGACCCGCAACTACCGTCCGTACATCGCGGCCAAGTTCTACCAGCGCGACATTCCGTACACATTCGCTCTGGGAGATGGAAAGGAGTACGACGGCTTCCTGAACAAGGTGCTGGAAAAGGACAAGAAGTACCGCATCTTCGTCAGAGCCGTGGTCGACACGCCGGAAAGGGTAGGTGCTAGGGCAGTGGGAGTGGGGTGGGGTGAGTGATGATGGAAGGGATAAGCGATGAGAGTCCTTTTGAAGAGGCGGCTGTTTAGTGTGTGGTGTGCATTGTACTGGATATGAGTTATCGTAGTGAATGGTGGAATGTTTCTTCGAAACTGAGATGTTGCTGGATTAGGCTTATAGACTGGGTTAATTATCCCCTACTCAACTGTGACTCATTAGTGTGCAACCCTCTCCCCGTCTCTCCACAGGAACTGTTCACGTCCAGTCCGTACTCTAGCCCTCTGAGTCTGGACATGAAGCGGCTGCCGCCGGGCGCGCTGCCGCAGCGGCCGATCCCCGGCAGTCCGGGCGACCCGGTCGAGGTGGCTACAGAGGGCGACCGCGGCCCGACCAGCCTCGTCTGGGTGGTCGGACCCGTGGTGGCCGGCGTCGTGCTCTTCGTCATCTTCATACTCTTCCTGGTGATCACTGCGAAAAAGTGAGTGCTGATGGCGCGCGGGTGGGCTGTAGTAGTTGGGAGCTGCTGGGGCGGGCAGTCCCAGTCCGGGGCTAGGCGAACCGCAGTCGGACGCGCACGGACGCGATGTGTAATATTTTTGTAAGGCTTGCGTCTGTTTTGTGTCGGCTGTCCTGTCTCCTGCCCGCGTCCATTCTCTCTCACGATAAACCACCCAGACCTGACGTCCGGTCGTGTCGGTGACCCAGCGGGCGGGTGGGACGCCGCGCTCCGCCGTCCAGTACCGAGTCCCCACCGCGGCCGGCCACCGCCGGCGGCCGGCGCTCGTCTGTTCGTCCGAGCGGCTCACCTGTCACGCCCGATCCTTTCCCAGACACCAGGTGAGCGTCCGACTCCGCTCCGGCCCCCCCGCGGCGCCCGGCGCACCGTCACGCACCCATTCCGCGCTCAGTTAGCCGCTCCACGACTCTGGACGCAACATATGGATCGGACGTGAATATCCTCAAACACATGCTCCTCCTATTGAGATCTCGTCGTCTGTTCACGTTCCTGTGCCATGGTGTCCCTCTACACGCTGCTCTAACACCGCCATCCCTCCCCAGACGCCGCGACTTCCAGAAGTCTCCGGAGCCGCCGACGGTGATGAAGCCTCTGATGTGTGACATGTCTGCGGCGCCGGCCACCCAGCCGCCGCAGACCGACCCCGTGGAGATCCGCCGGCAGAACTTCCAGACGCCCGGCATGATCTCGCACCCGCCCGTCCACATCGCCCAGCTGGCAGAGCACGTGGATGCGCTGAAAGCCAACGATAACCAGAAGTTCTCACAGGAGTATGAGGTGAGGGCGGTGGTGGTTGGGTTAGAGATGATTAAGTGGGGTTGAGTTTAGTAGGTTTTAATTGTAGCTAGTATGCTTGATCTGAGTGGCTAAAATTGGGTGATGAGATTTTCCGAATTTCATGTTTCAAAGTTTTCTGACTATACGTGTGAACCACAGTTGCTAGTCATCTTTTTTCCGAGTTTCCTCACAATATTCGCATGTCACAGTCCCCAGACACCCACCTCTCGCTGATCATCTAATAACCCCTCTCCCTCCCCGTCCCTTTCATCAGTCGATCGAGACGGGTCAGCAGTTCACCTGGGTGAACTCCAACATGGACGTCAACCGGCCCAAGAACCGCTACGCCAACGTCATCGCGTACGACCACTCGCGGGTGGTGCTGCAGCCCATCGAGGGACAGGCGGGCAGCGACTACATCAACGCCAACTTCTGCGACGGCTACCGAAAACACAACGCCTACATCGCCACTCAGGTGAGAAAGGGAGAGTGTGGGGTGAAGTTCGACGAGGACGTGTGATGAAAAAAGGACGTAAGAGTGATCGGCGGTTTGGTGAGCTCTGATGTTGCGCCTTTTCTTATTCATGTAAGTGAATTGGTCATGGTTCAGTCATGGTTCAGTCATTTCCAGATATGAGCTCGTGAGCGTGTTGAATCTAAGTCACCTTGTTGGCGGTCATGCCTCGACACCAGCATTCATCGTCATCATCGTAAAGGAACAGTATTTGTAGTGGGTTTCATACTCTGCGTGGAAGCCACCTCACCTGCTGTGATGTATCATCACATAGCCCCCTCCCTGCGCTCCGCCAGGGTCCTCTACCGGAGACGTTCGCCGACTTCTGGCGCATGGTGTGGGAGCAGCGCAGCTACACCATCGTGATGATGACCCGTCTGGAGGAGCGGGCGCGCATCAAGTGCGACCAGTACTGGCCTTCCAAGGGCACCCAGACCTACGGACCGATCATCGTCACACACACGGAGACTCAGGAGGTGGCCAGCTACGTGGTGCGCACCTTCCAGCTGCAGAGGGTACGTAAAAGAAGGGAGAGGGGAGAAGGGGGCTTTCTAGTTGTTGAGTATAATGCTTATAACAGAAAGTAACAGCTGTGTGGAAAAGGAAGGGAACGTATTACGTTAATAGTGGACATGTGAAGTTGACATACAACGTGGGACCATTTAGCCACTGCCCCCCCCCCTCTCCCCTTTCTCAGAAGCATTCTGTTGACAGACTCGATCTGACCATTCCCCCCTCCCCTCTCCCCGGCAGTCGGACTCTGTGGAGCGCCGCGAGGTGCGTCAGTTCCAGTTCACCGCCTGGCCGGACCACGGCGTGCCCGACCACCCCACCCCGTTCCTCATGTTCCTGCGGCGCGTCAAGGCGCTCAACCCGTCCGACGCCGGTCCGATGGTCACCCACTGCTCGGCCGGCGTCGGCCGCACCGGCTGCTTCATCGCCATCGACAGTATGCTGGAGCGGATCCGCTGCGAGGCCACGGTGGACGTGTACGGCCACGTGACCTGTCTGCGCGCCCAGCGAAACTACATGGTCCAGACCGAGGATCAGGTGAGTGGACAGATAAGATTTTTGGGGCTGATGCTAGGGAAGGAAAGGGAAGTAAATGAAAGCATATTGTTGCGATCAGGTGCCTTAAGCCTGAAACAGACTCTTTCCACAGTCAGGAAATCGCATGCGAGAGCCTATTCAAATACATGGAAGCACGCTCGCATCAATCGCACGCACCTTCCGCAAGCGATTGATGCGAGAAGAATTACAATGTATTTGAATAGGCTCTCGCATGCGATTTCCTCAACGCGGAACGAGTCTGTTTCAGCCTTTACTCTAAAGCTGCAGTCAGGTAGCTTAATATGATATTATGATGGCTAAATCGGGTAGACATCATGTAATTGTTTAGTTTTTTTTTCTAGAAATATCAAGGAATGCGAACTTTGAAACCCATAAAAACGTCATTTCTCGTCTTGCGTGCTCTTACATGCTAAAACGAACGGGCTAGAAAAGAATTAATCCGAGTACCGATCTGTGCTTGATTTCCTTCTAACCATCCCGTTTCGTCTCTCCCTGTAGTACATTTTCATCCACGACGCGCTGCTGGAGTCGGTGGTGGCCGGAAACACGGAGGTGCCGGCGAAGAACCTGCAGTCGTACATATCGCAGCTGCTGCAGCCCACCGGACCAGGAGACAACATCACCGGCATGGAGCTCGAGTTCAAGGTCAGTCCGAGAGTCCGGAAGCTAGAGTTCAAGGTCAGGATTGGATTGATTGGTGAAGGTCATTGCTAAGGCCACAGGGATTACGAGGAGAGGTTGTGATTCGGTTCTTGAAGAAGTCACGAAGGGGAGAAGTATGGTTTTAGTGTTTCGGCTCATGACCGTGCGTAATGCTCCAGCTCAATCTCCCTTGTCGATCATTTTATATGTCGAATTCTTACTACATTCGGAGCCGTTTCTGACGTTTGTTACTTTCCTTCGCCCCCGCAGAAGCTGGCCAACATCAAGGCGCAGCCGTTCCGCTTCGTGTCGGCCAACCTGCCGGCCAACAAGTTCAAGAACCGCTTCGTCAACATCCTGCCGTTCGAGTCGACCCGGGTGTGCCTGCAGCCGCTGCGGGGCCAGGAGTGCAGCGACTACATCAACGCCAACTTCATCGACGGCTACCGCACCCGGAACGCCTACATCGGTGAGAGGGGAGGGGGGAGAGGTGGGGTCGAACTTACTTGGAGGTGGAGCGGCAAGGTTGTGGTTTACGGGGAGAACGTGACGAGAGATGGGTGGAGAAATTGAAGGAGGTGGGAGGATCGGGCGAGTGAGAGCACCGAATACTGTTCGCTGGTGATGGATGACTTGACTATGGTGAATGAGAGGTCTAGTTAGTCTTGGGTGACGTTCAGTTGACATGCAATACTTCTTCGTGACTTTTCTGACTTCTTTTCTTGTCATGTCACGCCACTCTGCTTCGTATTGTTTGCAATCTCTCTGCTCACCATCTTTACCTTGGTAATTACCGGCGTTTTCGTTGGAGACTGTCGTATAACCGTCCATCTGTCCGCCCCGCAGCGACCCAGGGTCCGTTGGCGGAGACGACCGACGACTTCTGGCGCATGTTGTGGGAGCACAACTCGACCATCATCGTGATGCTGACCAAGCTGAAGGAGATGGGCCGCGACAAGTGCCACCAGTACTGGCCCAGCGACAAGTCGGCCAGGTGAGATACCACCTCCTGTCTGTGGGAGAGGGACGCTGGGTGGTGGGGCCTATGATGGGTTGAGTACCTCAGTTTTTGGCTGGTGCGATTGAGTATTGATTCTTGGACTTTAGGGTGATATTTGTATTCCTGTGATGGAAGTTGGCATGTGGTGCAGTTAGTTCACGAAAGGCTTGGAGAACCGAAAATATTCGCTACGCTATGCTCTAGTCTTGGCAAATAATGTATTAAATTGTTTCGTCTACTTACGTTTCGTGTTCACAGGTACCAGTACTGCGTGGTGGAGCCTATCAGCGACTTCAACATGAGCAACTGCACCATGAGGGAGTTTAATGTGACGGACGCGCGGGACGGCACGCCGCGTACGGTACGGCAGTTCCAGTACACCGACTGGCCCGAACAGGTGAGAGGTATACACTATACAGCGGCAGTTCCAGTACACCGACTGGCCCGAACAGGTGAGAGATATACACTATACAGCGGCAGTTCCAGTACACCGAGTGGCCCGAACAGGTGAGAGGTATACACTATACAGCGGCAGTTCCAGTACACCGACTGGCCCGAACAGGTGAGAGATATACACTATACAGCGGCAGTTCCAGTACACCGACTGGCCCGAACAGGTGAGAGATATACACTATACAGCGGCAGTTCCAGTACACCGACTGGCCCGAACAGGTGAGAGATATACACTATACAGCGGTAGTTCCAGTACACCGACTGGCCCGAACAGGTGAGAGATATACAGGGTGTCCCATAAGTTCGTTCTCACCTAAATTTTACGTTTTTAGGCTCTCTTGCTTAAAGGCACGCTGAAATTGGTTCGTTACTGAGCTTACATGGTTGCCATGGCTGGTAGAAATATGCTCCACAGTAACTAATTTCTGTAGACAAAATAATTTTTGCTAGAGAGCCCGTTTTCTACACAGACGACTAACGCCGCAACATAGAGGTCTCCAATACGGGTACGTTTCGGTATTTAGTCAGCACGTGACCATTCGCGACGATTAAGGGTGATTGAGGCCTACCAGTCTGTAGACAATGTCCATCGCTAACTGGACGCACAGTCAGCAAGTGACACCGATGATTTGTCGGAAGTCAATCATTGCAAGTTTATCCTCTTTTTTTGTCAGCTCTCAGGAGTGAGCCATGTGGCCAAAACTGTGTGGCGCCAAAGTGGCCATCAAAAAGGTCAAAGGGTTAGAAAGTTGGTAAGCAGACTTTTCAGGATGGATTACCAGCTGTCTAAGAGTGTTCTTTCGGGGTACATAACTCAAGGTGACTTAAGCTTTGCTTACCGGAGGGCTCAAAACAGTCAAAAATGTCTTAAAATGGCCAAACATGAGTTTCGTTATGCCTGAGGCTAAAAAAACTAAAGGGCTGAGGACATCAACCAGGTCATCTGGACTAACTAGTCCACGTTCGAGACGAAACACCCGTCCAAACCCGAAAACAACCCCATAAGGGCGAAGGAGGAGGCCTCTGTTTCGTCCCGTTATGTTCCCATGCGAAAGGCCAAGGTCACGGTATTGTGGGGTTATAGGCGTCCAGACGCTAACCAGGTTGCGATTGGTGTCCCAGAAACAGCTTTGGGAAGCATAATACTTTCCCAAGAATATCTAGGAGGAGTTTTAACCCTCAAGCTGAACTCGAACCGCGAGTATGAACACATTTATAGAGGAGAAAATGGCATCCGAGAGGTCGTAGGCCCATCTTCAGGCAAAACAGTGCATCAGTGCACAGGTCAAGCAAAGCTTAAAAGCGGTGCAAGGAGACTGTGACAGGCGTTTGTGGCAAGACCACATGCCAGGCACCTCATCGGATCAAAATTTCATAAAAATTTGTTGGTTATGCTGAAAATTAGGCTCGTCGAAGTGTAGCGCTGTTCCAGCCTCGAGGAGCTCACGGCGCATGTCAAGTCAGTCTGGGTTAACTTTATGCCTGCTATGCAGCCAAACATGCCGGTTGGCATGCCGCAGCATGTGTTCATGTGTTTGCCTATTAAATGAGGAGCACATTGAGGGGTTACAAATATATCAAAACGCAATGTACTCTGTTTCACATGCAAATATAATGTGAGAACGAACTTATGGGACACCCTGTACACTATACAGCGGCAGTTCCAGTACACCGAGTGGCCCGAACAGGTGCGAAGCACAAGGAACAGTTTCAGTACACAATTCACATATTCATATATGGACAGTTCCAGTACACCGACTGGCTCGGACAGGTTTCTGATGTATACTCTGCTCTTAAGTAACCGTTGTAAATTATATTCCGGCAACTCCTAGTTTCGGTCCCAACCCAGTGGTCGGAGGTCGCACATCAAGAAGTTGTCTCGAAGTGTAACAATGGACTGTCTGTTGACCCGCACCCTGCCCCGGTTCTGCAGGGCGTACCGGCGTCGGGCGAGAGTTTCGTCGACTTTGTCGGTCACGTGCACAAGACAAAGTCGCAGTTCGGCCTGGACGGACCAATCACCGTCCACTGCAGGTCAGTCACGTGGTTGGTGGGTTTTGGAGACCTATGTGGGAGTGGGCAAGCAGTGGAAGTCACGTGATAGCAGGATATGTCGTGTTGTTGTCCCTTCTAGATGGGTGTGGTATCCCGGGCATTTCTTTTGATATAACTACATATGGCGCTATGTTGGTATCTGATAGAAAATTCAGCAATTTGTTCGGTATATTTCAGCTGTCTTGCACCAAACTCTACCGTTTCGTCATAGTATGTCCCGTATCTAACCCCGTCCAATCTGTGTCTGCCCCTACCTGACCCATCTGTCTGTGTGCCCCCGCAGCGCCGGCGTGGGTCGGACGGGCGCGTTTATCGCGCTCAGTATTGCCCTGGAGCGGATGCAGTTCGAGGGCGTGGTGGACATGTTCAACACGGTGCGGATACTGCGCACACAGCGACCAGCCATGGTGCAGACCGAGGTCAGTGCGCAGCGCCCCTGGCGGCCGCCGGCACAACTAACCCGCCCGGCCGGACCGGCGGCGGGGACGGGGCGGGACTTAGAGAGATAATGTTAAAGTCAGCTGAGGTTTCTCAAACGTTTTTACGTCTGATTTCCGGATTGTGGTCAGGTACAGTTATGAGGAGCTTTTTGACAGACGTTCACCGTTGTTCGGTTCAAGGTCATGCATGGGAACTTGCATAGTTGGCACCCAGCTATCAGTATCGAATCAGCCATCTCCAAGGAACGCTATTTTTTTTTTTGTAATTTTATTACCTAAGCCGGTTACATATGCCAAACTTAAGCTCCCGGTGCTAAGTTGATTGCTAAACTTGTCGAACATGTGCTGTCATGCTCATGGGTGTAGGAGCGCCAAAAATATTGGTGAAGGATGCCACCTGAACCTTACATATGAAAAGGGACAGGACCGTGCTAACCAACACGCACAGTGCAAGCGGGGGGGGGGGGGGGGGGGGGGGCGAATTTCGCCAACCCCTTGTTTTTTGCAGATGTCTTACGCCCTTATTTATCATCCCATTAACGTCAAATTTTCAATGCCTGCCTAAAACTGAATTGTGCATCTTGCCATGACAGCAAGATGTAAATCAGGGCCTCGGCTAAGGAATTTTGACTACTGGGGCAAATGGTCAAAGTGTGTTAACCCGCGCCCTGCTGGGAGGGGGGGAGGTTTTTGAACACCCACCCCCCCCCCCTGCGGTTTTCGCGGATATCTGAAAAACGGCGGCACCTTATCATCTATCAATTTTATACATTTTGTGAAAATTTCAGACCAGGGTCCTTCAAGGTCAGGTCACCAGGTCGCTACAAGTGACCTCACTTCATAAACACATCATAAAATGTTTCAATGTATGCCATAGCTACACCAAGTGACGGATCGCTTTGAAGCTTTCAGCAATTGATAAGTGCAACAGTATGTACAAAATTCGGAATTTTCATATCGGTGACCTAAGGTCGGGTCAATTTTGCGACCTCTCTAGGTATTATAAGTCAATGGGAGAAAATTCAAAACCGTCTTTTTCGGACAAAAGTCATTCTAAACACTCTTGAACACTAAATTGCAAGTAACTTTGACACAATGAACATGAAAACGGCACCCGTGACCCCTGTTTATGCCCCTAAGGTCATCTCAGGTCACGAATGGTATCTAACAGTTTTTTGCGACTAACTTTTGAAAGAGGCATGCTAGAGCGATGAAAACGCCTTATATATGTTCAGCTCGACGATACAGATCCACTAATATGCAACATGACAATGTCAGGTCATGACCTTGACCTGAGGTCAAATTTTCAAGTTGACCTTTCAAGGTCAAGTTATAGTTCATTCGATGCGTCTTGACAAGAGGAACTCGATGCCGGTAAAAGTAAGCTCGTACAAGGCTTGGGTCAAAAGTAATTGCAGAAAAACTTTCCGAAAAAAATCGGCTATTTTTGCAGTTTTTGCCCCCTGCAGGCAAAACCGTTGACATTAGGCCAAATCTGAGAGAATTACTCAGAAAGGGCGTTAATAGGGCTATCGAATGCGCTTTTCCGTGGCGCTGTAGCTCTATTGGTTCCTGAGCTATGCGTTGGTTTCTTGGAAATTGTCGACATTCGGCCTGGAAATCGGCGAAATTTTGCCCTCAATGACCTCTGGTGACCTGACCTTTGACCTGACCAAAAAAGTGACCGAAGTGATTTCGTCATTATTTTTGGCGCTCTTTCGAACGCCGCCTTCTGCGTATCGCTACGTGGCCCAGGAGCCGAGTTAGAAGGGGGGGTGTTCAAACACCCCCCCCCCCCCAGCAGGGCGTGGAAATCCAGGACCCCCAGCCGGGCGCGGGTTAAAAAACAGACATTTGATCAACCGTCGAATCCAGTAGTTCTAAGCATAGGTAGGTGAAGACCCTCCCTTGCATTGTCCAAGATTGGTGAAGGATCCTTCACCAATCTGAAACTTTGGTGAAAGGTATCCTTCACCAAAGAGATACGTTGCTACACCTATGGACTCATGCTGCCTTGATTGGAGAATGTTTTATGTAGAAGTGCACCCCTGTATGACAGACTTTTAGTAGATGTCTGAAGGCACACCGTGTTTCGGATGCCATGCTGCTTCGTTCGAGTGTTTTTGTTTGACTAGTTGTTAGTGCACGCGTGTGACCTTTTGTTTGACACTCTGCCCGTCGGCTCGGTGTTTGCGGCTCCCCCTCCCTCTCCCTCCCTGCCCGCTCTCCCTGACTTGGTTGGTGTGTTGTGTTGTGCGCCCACCCCACCCTACCCCGCCCCCTCTCTCTCTCCCTGGCTGTGGCGGCAGAGCTGGGGGCAGTTGAAGAAAACATACATAGTTATGCACAAGTCGGCTATGATAAAAACGCCAGTGATCGCTCCTAGTAACGTTGTCTCCTCCCTCTATCTGCGACTGTCCCCGGCTCTGCGGCGGCGCTCTCTCCGCTCCCACCCTCTCTCTCGGGACGGCGGCTGTCACGTTGGCGCCGCGCCGCGCGCTCTCTCCACTCTGCCCTCAGGAAGAGTACCAGATCTGCTATGAAGCGGCCATTAGATTCTTGCAGTCGTTTGATTTCATCATCGAGGAGTAGCGGCTGGGCTCGAGTGAGAGCGTAGGTACGCCATCCGCCGGTCGGAAGGGATGGGGACGGGCCTCTCCTCTCACCACACGCCGTAGCATGGAGGACACCCGCCGCACTAACGGACTGGTGGAGCGCGGTGGCCGGTGACCGGTCCGAGGGACGACAGCTGGTGGTGGTCAGGATTACTTTACTGATGCGGTGGGGTAAGAGCGAGAGAAACCGCCGACTGAGTCGGGAGGGAGTACGACGACAGGGCGCCGGCCCCGGGTGGCACCCGTGGTATACGCATGGGTCGATTCGCGACTAGTAACTTAGTTAACTGGAGTGGAGCATGAGACGTGGAGCTGTGTGTTGTTCATGCGATATTTGGCATGTTATAGCCTGCTTTGTTTACTCATTTCTGCATGCTTTTCATAAACAAGCAGCCTGCTTGTGCACTAATTTACCTCTGCATTGTACATACTTTTATCGATTCGTGATTGAATAGTGTGTGGCTTGCCCGTTGTCTGTTCCTTGGACGGCACCCTCTGAGCCGCTGTTCCCGCCGCTCTCTTGGTGCCGTACCTTAATGTACCTCTGACCCGCCGTTACCCTCTCGCAGGACCAGTACCAGTTCGTGTACCGCGCGGCGCTCGAGTACCTCAACTCGTTCGACCACTACGTGGCCTAGGGCGCCACCTAGAGGCCCCGGTCGGCCGACCGAGGAGGTCCGTTCACCGGCGGAGACCAGCCGCGCACAGTGGGACGATCGCGCCGCGCCGGTGACAAAAGTGCTGCGCGGAGACAGTGCCGGCGCGCGAGAGAGGCGTCGGTGACGCGGTGTGTACATATGTGGCGCCGCCGCCGCAGCCGTCGGGACAGCGGTCCCACATATCAGGAGCGCGAGCGGCCGGCCCACCAGCAATAGAGGCAGGCGGGGGCCGCCCCGACTCCCGACGGAACAGACTCAGCACAGCAGGACACGGGAAACTGCGGCCCGCAGGCGGACGGAGAGGATTGAGCGGCGCTGCGAACGCTACTCGGTATTTTATTTAAAGTTAACGGCGTCCAGTCTCCGTTTCATGCCGCTGCTTTATTCGATTTATACCTACGACACTACAGAAAACGTGCAATTCCTTTTATAGCATTTGATCAGATCTGGCGCTCTTAAGCGTTAATGACAATAAATGTATTATGTTTTATGCGGAATGTGGTAGAAGCTGCACTTCTGTTGTCGATTTTGTATGATCTGTCGCTGTTTTTCTGTGAGCCTGGAGCCACATTCCTGGTGAGACTCTCAGCCATATGTTGATATGTGATACGGCCTGGCAGGCGCACAACGCGGCGTGCACATTCGCGCAATGGAGGCCGTCGGCGCGCCACCGCGAGTCCCCTCATAGCAACGAGAGATTAACGGTGTGTGTGTATGTGTGTGTGCGCGCGGGACAGTGTTCGAACAAGCGGCAAAAGTGGCGCCATCGCGACGACCCGTCATCCCATTGTGTATTTTATGTTCTCGGTGCGTCCTCAGTGTTTGATGAGTTTGCAGCCGGCGGCGTTAGATGGCACTGTCGGCGGCCGCCCGTTGTGGTGGCCGCGGTCGGTACGCCTCCTACGCTGGGGGTGGGACCGGCCCGGCCCAGTGTCCCCCTCCCTCGAGAACCATATCCTGCCGAACGGTGCCGGCAGACGCGCCGGTTTTGTAAATTACATGTTTGTACATAGCAACATACATTGACTTTGGAGGAGACTGTGTTTGTGAATTGTGACGCAGAAAAATTGATGCTCGACGGAATGATATTGCACGAACGTCGAGAGAAGACTAGACTGTTAGACTAGCCATTCATTGATTCATGAAACAACACCTGTGCCCCGTTGGCCGACCACAGGACAGCATTAGCTGGTAGCTCAATTGGTAGAACATCAGATTTGGAGAAATGAAAATTCAGAACCTTGAGTTCGAGTCGCTGCGGCCTGGGGAGCGTGAATACGTTTGCGGGAGTCGTCACTGACTGACGGGAAATGAACCTCCACGGTTCCTCGAGTCCGCCGCCTCACCCGGTCTGCAGCTAACCGTGCCGGCCTCGCCACGGCGTAAAACTGGTTTTCAAATCACAGCAGGTATCTGGCTGATATCTCGACATCAGGCATAGTCCCGCGATCGCAGGCTATCGGCGGCTCTAACAGAATCCTAACGGGACTGACCAGCAGCCGGAGCTAAATGGGTCGAGACGCGTCATCTCAATCCAAATACGAAACCGGATCGGTGTTGAAAGACCACTGCCGAAAGGACTCTATCAATCAGCGTGAAATTTATTAAACATTTTCTCAATGATCAATACGGTGTGGTGCATCAAAACTGATATGCAATGATGTTTGCTTTTTAACAAAAGGGGGTAGATCAAAGAATATCGACATTGAAATAAATAAATTACAACGGCAGCTGATTAAATATATGAATATGTAAATATCTATCAACAGATATGAAAATATATCGAAAATCAAGAAATCACAACCACTCAAGACAAACGAGCAAACAAAACTAATCTATATCCCCACAATCTGGGGTAATGTTGGTCCAGGCGCGCGCTGCCGCCGAGCCGATCTTGGAAGACAACAAACTACCAGGGACGACCTACAGTCGACACCTCGCTCCATTCTGTGGTCCACAATACTGCTACACACATGGGTGCGAGATATCCTCCCTCGCCCGTAACTTCGGCTCGAAAACAGCATCGGAACACTGCAAACTCGGAGCGAAAATTGCCAACCGAGACCGCCAACTCGGACCGAGAATCAGTGCGAGCATCGCCAGCTTTGGGTAGGGACTTATATGATAAACCACCCTTTTCGAGCTGCGCCGTTTCGCTCCTCAGTGGCCGTTTGCTCCGTTGGACACTCCGTTGGCGGTGGATACTCCGTTGGTGGCTCCGTTGGTGGCTCCGTTGGTCAGGCCGGCGCCGTTGGCCAGTTTGGAGGCGGGCAGCGCTCCGTTTGTGGCCGGGGAGTCACAGTCGTCCTGGTAGCCGCGCGGGTTCTGGGTCTGCCACCGCCACATGTCACGGCCTGGGGGAGGGGGAGGGGGCGTCAGGGAGGGTGCAGGGAGTCGGGTAACAGGTAAAGGGAACGAGCTGTTCTGGCTGGTGTAGCCAGTAGAAACACTGTAAGATACAGATATCTCTTGTATTTCGCCACAAAATCGAGACATATATAGTTTTACATACGAACTTAGTTATCTAGTATTGCACACATGTTGGCGAGAACATCGAATGTAATAAACGAATACATATGGTTTTTAATATACACATTGCCAATACAATTGTCCAAACAATACAGCAGTTTAAGCGAACGGAACGTTAAAAAGGGGGGCGCACAACTTAATCAAAGGCTTTAGCAATTTAGAGACTGGTAAAAGCGACACCTATGAGAAAAACTATAACTAGCGGTTCACAGCATCTAGCGGTGACCGGTGGAAGTAAACGCGCCTAGCGGTGACCGGCGGTACATGCAGGGGCTACATCACTCCCCCGCCCTAGTTAAACACCATAAAAAGAAGTTTGGCGGCGAGTACGCGACGAACGGCGGAGAGGGGGTGGCGAAGCAAGCGGCGGGTCCGGCGGCACGCGGCGAGCCGGGCGAGAGCCGCCGGGGGCACCTGAGCGGCTGGGTGCAGGCGATGCAGCAGGCGGGCGGTCCACCGAGCTGTCTGTCGCTGTAGTAGGCGTGTCGTTCACCAGGACGTCCGGTGCTGCAGGCGGCGTTGCGGCAGGCATGTTGTCCGTGAAGGCCGGTTTACACCGAGCCAGGGTGACGGTGTCGCGTCGCCCGAGACGGTCGATGGTGACGGTGTGCTGGTCGCGGGAAAGGACACGATAAGGACCGTCATAGACGTATTGGAAAGGAGAGCGATGCGAATCGCGTCGGATGAAGACGTGGGAGTAGGTTTGCATGTCTTGAGAGATGAAGATTTGGCGGGAGCCAGGACGAGGAGGAGTTGGACGGAGCTCCGACATGGCGGCACGGAGACGAGAGGCTAGGGAAGCCGGATCAGAAGAAGTGTCCGACGACATGGGGGAGAGGAAGTCACCAGGAAGTCGGAGACTGCAACCATAGACTAGGTCTGCAGCGGTGCATCCGAGATCCTCCTTGAGGGTCGTGCGCACTCCGAGTAGCACCAGAGGAAGTCGTTCCGACCAGGAGACGGCGTCGTCATCGGTCCGCAGAGCTGACTTCAGTTGGCGGTGGAAGCGCTCTACCATCCCGTTTGCTTCTGGGTGGTAGGCACAGGTCCGGATCCGAGAGGTGCCGAGAAGCTTGGAGACTTCTGTCCAGAGGCGGGACTCGAACTGGGATCCTCTGTCGGTGGTGATGAGTTCGGGTACTCCGAAGCGGGCGATCCAGCCGCTGACGAGATGCCGAGCCACCGTGACGGCGTCCATGGTGGGCAGAGGAATTGCCTCGGGCCATCGGGTGAAGCGGTCGACGACAGTCAGGAGATAGGAGTTGCCATGGGACGGAGGAAGTGGTCCGACAAGGTCGATGTGGATGTGCAGGAAGCGAGAGTCAGGTGGCTGGAAGCTACCCATGGGTGGCTTCGTGTGGCGCTGGATCTTGGCACGCTGACAGTGCTGACAGCTCCGGACGAAGGCACGGATGTCCGCGTTGATGTGGGGCCAGATGAACCTCGATGAGATGAGATGACGCGTAGCGTTGATGCCAGGATGAGACAAGTCGTGGAAGCTCTTGATGATGGAAGGGCGGAGTCTGGCTGGGACTACAGGTCTAGGTGTGGCCGTTGAGGTGTCGCACCAGAGACGTAGATGCGGATGATCAGGGACTGGGAAGTCACGGATGATCAGAGATGAGGATTGTTGCAGCTTCGGCAGGTCAGGATCGTTGGCTTGGTGTAGGGCGATGTCGGCCAAGCTCAGAAGGCCGGGTGAAGGTGTAGCTGCGGCAGAAGCTGGCGCAGACACTGAGCTGATCCGTGAGATGGCGTCAGCTACCGGGTTGAGGTGTCCAGGAACATGTCCGATCTTGCTGGTGTGCTGCAGAATCAGGTCCATGTGACGTTGTTCACGGAGAGAATGGTTGGCGTTGCCGTTGGCCTTGAGAGCAAAGACGAGCGGCTTGTGGTCCGTGAGGATCTCGAAGTCGCGTCCTTCCAGATAGGGCAGGAAATGTCGCACGGCGAGGTACATGGCGAGCAATTCCCGTCCAAAGGTGCTGTAGCGGCGTTGGGTGGGCGTGAACTTGCGCGAGAAGAAGGCGAGAGGCTGAAGAGAACCACCAACTCGCTGGTGGAGCACGGCGCCGGCTGCCGTGCTGCTGGCGTCAGTGCTGAGGCTCAGAGCTGCATCTTTGACGGGATGAGCGAGCTGGGTGACGTCAGCGAGGGCGGCTTTGGCTGCAGAGAAGGCGGCGTCTGCCTCTGGGGTCCACGTGACTGAAGCAGCTCGGTCGTCTGCGGCAGTCAGGCCGTGGAGAGGTGCCAGAAGAGCAGCAGCGTGTGGGGTGAAGCGGTGATAGAAGTTGATCATCCCCAGGAACTTCTTGAGGCTCTTCTTTGACTCTGGACGGTCGAAGTTCTTGATCGCGCTGACTCGATCGTCGAGAGGAGTGATGCCCCCGCTGGAGATCTGGTGGCCGAGGTAGGAGATGCTTTCCATGCCGAAGGCGCACTTCGATGGGTTGAGGAGCACACCGTTGCGGGAAAGACGGCTGAAGACCTCTCGGAGGTGTGACAGGTGTTCCGAGATGCTGCTGCTGGCGATGAGGATGTCGTCCACATAGACGAAGGCGAAGTCTAGGCCACGGAGGATGTGATCCATGAACCTTTGGAAGGTCTGAGCGCAGTTCCGGAGACCGTACGGCATACGGAGGAACTCGAAGGCGCCGAAGGGCGTTGTGATCGCTGTCTTGGCGATGTCTTCTGGGGCCATCGGTATCTGGTTGAAGGCCCTGACGAGGTCGAGCCGAGAGTAGATCGATGTCCCAGCGAGGCAGGCAGTGAAGTCGTGAAGATGTGGTAGTGGGTACCGGTCAGGCACTGTGATGCGGTTCAGTGCACGGTAATCACCACAGGGTCTCCAATCTCCAGACGACTTGGGCACCATGTGCAGCGGTGATGCATACCGACTGCTGCTGGGTCGGATGACTCCGAGACTGAGGAGGCGCTGGAACTCTGCCTTGGCAGTGGCGAGTCGAGCTGGATCCAGACGGCGTGGGCGGCAGAAGACCGGAGGGCCGGTAGTCTCGATGTGATGTCGGACTGAGTGCTGTGGCTCCGGATGATGTGACGGCTGGGTGAGGCTGGGGAATTCTCGAAGGAGGGTAAGGAATGCTGGGTTGTCGGTTCCGACGACGGCTGTCAGTCCGGTGGATGGCACTGAAGAGTGGGAAGCAGGTGAAGACAACCTAGTTAGGTGGTCGATGAGACGGCCTCTCTTGGTGTCGACGAGGAGATCATACGAGGAGAGGAAGTCGGCTCCTAGGAGAGGATGAGAGACGTCCGCGATGATGAAGATCCAGTTGAAATCTCTTCTGAGGCCGAGAGAAAGCGTGAGCATGCGCTGACCATAGGTCTGGATGCTGCTGTTGTTGGCTGCTTGCAGATCCAGTCCGTTGGTTCCGCGAGCACGATCGGTGGGTGTCGCTGGAAGAACACTGTACTCAGCTCCAGTGTCGATGAGGAAGGTGATGCCAGTGTTGTTGTCCTTGAGTCTCAGAAGGCCGCTGGCTGGAGGGACGTCAGGGTTGAGCAGGGCAGGTGCAGACGTCTGTGTCACCTGTCCTACTGCTGGTTTCCCGAGGTCTGAGTTGCGGTTGCAGACCACGAGCACGGTGACTGACATGAGCGCGCGTTGGTACCGAACTTGTGGTGGTACCAGCAGAAGGAAGCACCAGCGCCGGTAGACGTGTTGGTTGCAGGGCTGGGTGACCGGGCAGCAGCAGACAGGTCGCGTGGTGGACGGTGGCGAGCGCGGCCGGGGGCACGGGATGCAGACCTCTCTCGGCGGCGCGTCTCGTCCACCAGGGTGGCGACTGATGTTGTGAGGGCCGTGATACCAGTCAGCAGCTGGCTCATCAGGTCTTGGAGGTGGAAGGGTCCTGCAGGAGCAGCAGGTGAGGCTGCAGCAGGCGCAGAAGTCGATACCGCGGCGAGAAGGCCTGAGGTAGGTGCAGCGACGTCCGACTGCTGCGGAAGCTCCAGGAGTCGGTCGGCAGTGCTAGCGATGGTCGCAAGGTCCGTCCCAGGCGGCAGGCACTGGAGGAAGGGCTGAGTCCGAGGCGGAAGTGCATTGAGGAAGATCTGGCGGATGAGCGGGGAATCTTGTGAGCCTTCAGCTTCAGCAAGGTCCAGGAGATGCCGAAGGAATTGGGAAGGACGTCTGTCGCCGAGTTGTTGGCCAGAGAGCAGGCGGCGAAGACGCTGTTCGACTGATTTGCCGAACCGCTGACGGATGGCGTCGGAAAGGATGGTGTAAGGTCGGTCTGGAGGAGGGTTGCGGAGGATGTCAGTGAAGTCGCGCAGGAGGTGGCCAGGAAGGAGAGTAGCGGCGATCCGGAAGCGGCTGAGCTCATCGTCCACAGCTGCCTGAGAGAAGAAGAGGTCGAGCTGGACGAGCCAGATCACGGGGTCCTCCTCGAAGAAGCGCGGCGGCGCGACGTGGCTGCGTGGCGCGGTCGCCACGCGGAGGTAGTCCGGTTGGGCGGCAGCGGCAGCAGCAGCAGCAGCGGCATGCGAGGCGGCGGCGGCGGCTGCACCGGCGCCGGCGGCTGCACCGGCTCCGGCGGCTGCACCGGCGCCGGCAGGCTGGGTCTTCTGGTCCATGGCTGCCGAGAGCAATGGTCGGGAAGATCGGTGGCGGCGACGGCGATCCGGCGATCGGCAGGTGCTGCGGTGCAGCTGCAGAGGTAGCCGTTCGGTAAGATGAGCCGATGAAGTAGCTGGTCCGTAGTGCAGCAGTAGTAGTCGGCGTTGTCCAGTTCCACACAGCACAATAGAAGGATCCTCGTGGAGACACACCATCCGCCACTTCCTTCCTACACAAAGAGAGCTGGAG